GTTGCTCAATCTGACAGCTGCACTGGCCCACCATCCTGCAAGCTCCCCTGTCTCGGGTAAGTACGTCTTCATTACCTTGTCTAAAGAACAGACGTTGACTTGACGCAGGTTCTCGGAAGCAGCCGCTCACACGGTCCTGCCATCTGTCTAGCATCACTTTGGCCAGCTTGCGCTTTTTACTCGCCGAACCCTCGAGAGTGAACACGCCAGAATACTCCAGCCACACACCCCTCGACACGCCACGCAAAAAGCACCCAGGTCGAGACCTTCAGGGGCTTCAAGGGTTTCCGATTGAGACCTCACCGACGCCACAGAAGCGGGCACGCGCTCACCAGGACACCACCCCTTGGAATACTTCAATCCCGTCGTCGCACACAGCTTTGTCCGGGGGGCACGACGACCATGTGTATCTACTATTACCTTCATCACCATCACAGTGCCCCGTGCACCAGGGACATCGAGTTTGTCATACATTATGTCTTCTGTCCGGCAGCCACTCTCGACGAAACATACCAGACCTGGTCCGCCTGCCCGGACACGTCCTACTTTGACGAGCAGAGTGGGAGCCTCGGCATCGACTTCAACAACCCGTGTGCCAGTGGCGGGTGCCTGGCCAGTCCAAAGTGCAGCCGGGGCGCGTGCCGGCTGGAGGAGCTGAACGGGCTCTGGATCTGCTGCCGGTGCGGCTTGGGCGGGAACACCTACCCTGTCTGCTACCATCCGATGAAGAAGAGCCCAGATTCGCTCTGCTACCACAAGTGCTGCCTGAGGTGTGAGCCGGATATGGCCGTGGAGGCTGGCGCGGGAGGGAATGGGCCCGGCCGGTGACGTGCCGAATCTCTTCTTTCTTTTCTTTTTTTCTTTCCTTTTGGCTTCCAGCTTCTCAAGCGATACTTGGACTATTTCGGGACAGCTGTACGATTAGGGCTTGAGAAGCGAGTCGGGCCGGGTCAGAAGCGTACACGAGGCAATCAGTGGTGGAGCCTTTTCCTGGTTTGTCTCCTTGGACTCTTGTTTTTGTTGCGGAAAAAACAGCCCATATATGCGGGCTGAAGATCTTTGGGAGAGATTACGCGCATAATCTACGTGTTCGATCTCTGTTGGGATCGGAAGGGTTTCTTTTTCGATTCGGCATCGGGCTGCGAGATCTCGTAAGCGAGATCCTGTGGGCTGAAAAAAGTAAACTTGCAAGCCAGGGTCCTACAAGGGAGGGCGGCAGAGCAGGAAAGTCAGCTGAACGACACGCTTTTGTGCCACTCGAGGCCAGGTTCCTGACATTCCAATGAGCAACACCAGCGCAGCCAAGTGGCTTCGGCTTGGGTGGGGTATTCCCATAGACTATTCGATGAGGCTGTAAGAGCCATTGGAACTTTTTAGAGGCTAGGCGATGGGGGCCACCAGGGGGAAGGGGAGGGGTGGAGGCTCTCAGGCAAGTGGGAGAACTAAAGCAATGTTTCTGTACAACCCTCAACCATACGGATCCGGCTCCGTGGGACCCCTTTCCTCACCGTGAGGCGTCTGTCACCCGCGAAGATCACCGCGTGGCCCCACACCCCCTCCCCCAATATCCCGTCGCAACCTCTTCTACTTTCTACCGAATTGAGATCGCGCCCAGACGGTCGGGACATGTCCAACAGTGGCCGGACTAGGAAGAAGGAATTCCAAATCGGCTTGGCCAATCGATGGGACAAGACTTCGAGAAACATCGAGGCTTTCGACGACGTGCCCTCGTCATCTATTGACCACCCACCCCTGGCACTTGTTGAGATACCCATCCCACTCCGGCTGGGGACGAGAGCCGCTGACGAGCAATGACACGATGACAGCTGAAGGTGCTCATATGCGGAGACCCAGCGGCGGTCTCAGCTAGCACACCGGTATGACCACGACCTATAAATCGCCTTGTCGTCGATACTCGGCCCGGTGGGTTGGAAAGATCTTCTATCATATCAGACAAGCAGAGCACCCCTTCACATCCCGTGGCTACCACATCTCCGGAGCGATATTTTCATACTTAAGGGCCTCGCTCCCAAGCAACCAGAGACCACCAGGGACGATATTCACTCAGACAGCATCTTGATTCGCATATCACGGTCGTTACGCAAACCCAGTCAGATCTATATCGAAACCAAGTCTTTCAACTCAGCGAGAACGCAGATAGATCCACAACCTCTCAAAGGGCTCACACGAGACTTGAGACCATGTGTCACCAAATCACCTACACGCTGCCCTGCGAGCACACGCGGACAGACATCGTCTACTGCGCCGATGCCCCAGCGGAATCGTCAAAATCATCGTCATCATCAGGAGGCTCGTCATCAAAGTCCTCGAAGAAGGACAGCGGGAAGAAGCACCACAGTAGCAGCAGCAGCAGCAAGGGCAAGGACAAGGAGAAGAAGGGCAGCAGCAGCAAGTCGTCGTCATCGTCGTCTTCGAAGCGCAAGCCCTGCCGCAACCTCACGGCGCAGTCGATCGCGTACCCGATGCCGCCCAGCTTCGAGGGCAGCCCGGCGACGGCGGCGAGCAGCCCGCTGCTGCCCAAGTGCCCGCTGCCCAACTGCCCGTTCGAGCAGCGGAACCGGTGCTGGAACTGCTGCTGGTGCGGCAAGAGGTTCAACGAGTACGGCCGCTGCAGCTGCATCATGATCATCGACGGGAACAAGGTGTGGTGTGAGCACATCTGCTGCGAGACGTGCACCCCGGCCGGACCGATGTGATGGGGCGCGCACAGCAAGGAAGGGAGGGTCGGGCGTCGAGGCTATTTTCTTCGTTCTTTCTTTTCTTCTAATTATTTCATTATGCTCTGTTCCTTTTTTTTTCTGGGCAGGGACGGGGCTATCTGAAGCATTGGTGTACTGGAGTTTGTGTGCCCGGAGGCCTTTTAGGGTTTGCTTGTTCGTGGGATGATGATCAACAGGGCACACTTTCTGCACACATGGTCGGGCGAATGGATGAGGCAAGGAATGGGGGCCACGGGAGGTTGGGGCCGGAATGGTGGCGTTAACATGGGCTCGCTCGGTCATTGGTTTAGTCATGGATTTATATTTATGTATGGCTGGGAAGAGGGCCGTACGGGCTAGGGGGAGAAGCACGTCTCTTAGTGTCGATGATGAGAAAACATTCGATGATGATCACCTTGACGTGTGAAAAACCAGGCACCAGATGTATGTGATGATGTTGTGCACAAATCCTCCAGATCCGTGGCACTCCGTGGCGTGTCGATAGTGTTGAGACTCGTGGGAAAGTGTACGACACTGTGACCAAAAGGAGGCTTGCCAGTGACGAAGCCGTGGCCGTTTGAGGCAAAGGCGCCGCGGGCCAGAGATTCACGCATCCTCTTTAGGTCGTGTTGTGGTGATGGGCACGCAAAGAATGCGGCTCCCGGGATCCCGAATGCCTGGGACAAAAGACAGACGTTGGGCCCGGAGATTCTCATTGGCTGAGGGGCGAAGGATTGCCGATGGCCTAGGATATCGCCTGTATGCACAACACACAGATCGGATCTGCGAAACGCATGCAAGGTCGGACTCAGATCTGGATCTGGGGTGCGACCATAAATAGGCTAGCTAGGGGAAAAACATGCATGCACCGCGGTGGAGATCGAAAACGGTGCTGGACAATACCATCCCATCAATGGGCTTCCATCGTGTGCGCCTTGTTTATTTGCTGCCTGTTTTTACCGTGCTTCATTTTCTTCTTGATCGCCTCACTTTTGCCTGCTTCCTTCGTTCATGCTTCGGTCCGTCTTCTTTGGCCTCTCCCTGGTCTATGCAGGGGCTGGGCCGGTGTGTGGGTGGCCACTGTCGAGGCTGCCCGTATACAAGTACTCAGGTACCCACCCGGAATGTGTCGGAAAATGACCTGTCCCTTGTCTCGTGTAACCTCAACAGAAAAAAAGTAAAATGCACCGACGATATTCGGAGACCTAGAACGAGTGTCCGAAAAAGAATCACACGTGAATACAAAGCTACGAGCCCAGCTGTCTGACACCCATGTACCTCGAGGATTCTCTTAATCCCAGGCCTCACATGGTGCCGCGAGAGACCGGTGTGAGATTTTGTATAACCTGTTGCAGAACCAGATAAGCGAGAGCCTCTTGACCTGCAATGTGGAGCTTAGTTCCTCCCCAGAACCTGGGTGCCGGGTAGATACTGCAGCACACCCGCCATCTTGACCAGGTGCCGTGTGACCGCATGGCTGGTCAAGCTGAAAAAGACCCAAGAGACCCTGGGGTGCAAGAATGCGAGCTGTGGTCGCACCGATCAGCCGAGGGAGAAGCCCTCATGAGCCCTCAGTCGCACGACGGCAGCCTGCTGCTCAACTCCAAAACCCATCGGAAACAGTGCAAGATCAGGTAACCTGCCACAGTCTGTTTGAGCAGCAGCTGTTGTGCTGGCGCGAATGCCAGATCTCTTCTCTTGCAGCATCTCGTACGCCGTGCGGATATTTAAATTGTCGGTCGCGGATATTTCGCTGTTGAGTCCCGAAACACGAAATCTGAGAAGGGTTTCGTGTTTCGTGTCTCTCCACCACGGCCGCCGCCTCTGATGTCCACGACACATAGAGTCGAGAACGGCGGCGCTCACCCATATGTAGATCTCTCATGATAGAAACGGTCTATGTCCTATGCAGGCTGGCTGTTTCCAGAGACGTGACCAATTGCAGCAATTTTCCCAGATTGCGATCCAATTAACCTATCCGATAGTCATTGATGAGCAAAGTCGACGCCAAATTGCAAGACCCGCGGCCTGATTGGCATCTGTGACGCTCGAAGGGGAGTTATTAAACGAAAGAATGTGTGAATGACCACGTACGATGTCTGGGAAGAAATCATGCGCTCCGGCTTGGGAGTTGGCCGGTGTTATAAAAGGCCAAGGAGACCAGCAGATCTCACGAGGATAATCATCTGAGGAGCATTCCAACTCAACGGGAATTCAAGTATCAGACAAACAACAACAAATAACCCATATTTGACTGGAAACTCGATTCTACTCACCGAAATGTGCGTGGGCCATCCCAAAAGGCACCCGTGCCAACACACTTCAGTGACCTACAATCATTGCGTGGCCGCCCATTTCGACGGAACTACTGGGGTCACCACTCCCTGCCACAACACCACATATGCAGCGCCAGTAGATACCGAATCCAAGTGTACCAACCAGCTCTGCTTCTTTGAAGAGCTCGGTGGGAGTTGGATATGTTGCAAGTGCGGGAATGGCCCCAACTACGTGGGATGGTGCACCTATGACAACCCAAGAACAGAGGTCAACGCCATTACGCAGCAGGTAGAACAAGTCACGAAGTGTGTTCACTGTTGTTGCTGGAACTGCACCCCGTACTGTGAGTAGACATCTGGGTGTGACATAACAGAATGTCACGGTGATGCTGGAGACACTGACACAATTTGTACAGCAACTTCCGATCAGGGCGGCTCAAGCCATGGTGGCTCATCAAAGCGTGGCGGCTCATCGAAGCACAAGCACCACAAGTCTTCGAAGCATGGTGGGTCTTCGAGTCAGGGGTATCAGTGGATTGAGATGGACTACAGTTCGAAAGGGAGCTCTTCAGGCCACAAGAAGAGGAAACACAAGGAGAAATAAGGACATCGTAATTTCAGACGTTGATGAAAACTTGGGCGCTGGGAATAGTGTGTTGAGTGTGTAGCTTGGACCGGGCATTACAACCTCTCTAGAATGCGATATTTATAATACTAATTATTGGTTGTCTACCCCGATTTTGTAGGCATGAAGTGTGTTCTCTGCGCTAGTCACAAACGCCAGGCGATTCACTGCGGTGTCAAATGGTCCCGCTGACATACCTCCAAAGTTTTTTCTTTCTCAGATTATGACTTGGTCCGCTCGAATACGCCTGCAACTAGTAAAACAGACCAAGACTTGACAGTGGTGTTCTGACAATGAGTTATTGAGAGAAACTGTGTACTCAGGCATCAGCCGAGTCACTTCGTTAACCCAACTCTCAGCCAGAGAGTATATAATTTTCTCAGCCGAAGGCGTGACTAGATGGTATTGAATTGCAGTATAAATTTGAGGCCCCAAATCAAGAGAAGAATGCCGGATTCTTGACAAGGAGCAGAATCAACTGGCCGACATCCCATCAACAGCACAGAGCATTAATTTCAGAAACGCAAAGGATTTCACCAGAAGCTGCCCCTCAAAATCGCTCCGCTACTTCCCTCCGTCCCCAACAAGATGTGCAATTCAGTTACCAACATATACGATTGCGGGCACACCGAAGAAGTCCCCACTTACTGCTACGGCGCGTATTACGATCCCAGAACGGGGTCAACTATCCCATGTCAAAATCAAACACACAATGGTACAACTTTGACACGCGGGAAGTGCAACTTTCCCATGTGTACCTGGGTCGAGACTGGAGATCAGTGGAGGTGCTGTTATTGCGGACACGACGCTAACACCCTGGCCTACTGCACCAATTACGTCCAAATGGAGGGCTACAATGAGCCGGAGATGTGTAATCACATGAGGTGCGTGGATTGCAACTTCACGTGAGGTAAGTTTTTACCCAATGTCAGCGAGCTCGTCTACTCGTGGCGCAGTCTGACAGATACGGCTGGAGACTCGGTCGAAGAAAACCCCGGGTGGAGCTCCAAGCACTCTAGTAGTCACCGTCACTGGTGTGTTTCTTCGGGTCTCGTTCCTCCAAGGAAAATGGGGTGGCAGTGGAATGGATGGGATATTGGATGTTAGGGAGATGAGGGCTCGATACGCGTTGATTTAGCTTTCTCAGAATCGATTGTCTCTACACACTAAGAGGAAAGAGCCGATATCTGTGAAAGTCCCATTGCTAAGTGTGAAGATAACGCTTGCGGACAAAGACCACTCTGACTTGTCGCAATGAAGCCGGCAGTTTCTTCAAGGTGTGAATCAATACACGGACCACTTTCAGGTTCTCGCCACCTTTCAGTGAGATGTAATTATATGCGGTCTACCAAGTATCTGTTTCGTGTTATCTCATTGTTAGATTGAGGATAGGGTAGCTCCTGAGGTCCAGCAGTCTGAACAGTCTTAAAGAGCACAATATAGTCATGGCAGGCCGAGGAGTTACCTGAAGAAATTGACTTGACCACTCCTACTAGTCCAGCTCTCTGGTTCTGGTACACGTGAGATGTCAGGCTTACCGTACTCAATTCTGGGCGCTGTCGGATATTATCGGGATACAAACCATCCATCTCAAATCAAGCAGATGGCTTGGAGCAAAATAAAATGTTCCGCCAAGAATGCTTGTATCAGCAAGGCAATATATGTACGTGCATACAGAGGTCGCATTTCATCAACCTTGCCTTGCCTGCGGAAGAGCAGCACCTACAGTATATTTAAACAGTACATTCGATATACGAACAGCTACTCAACGTGTGCCTCACACACATTGAGCTCCCTAACGTAGGGAACCCACCCGACCGGATCCATAGGCACCCGCGGTCCAAGAACAAGATTAGCCCATGATATCTCAGGAGGCGACCCGGGAGGGTTGCCCCGAAAAGGACTCAACTGAGCTACTCCCGCCTCATGCTTAGCAACTAGCCTCCACAATGAAGCCTTTCTCTCGATGCATAGGGATGATGGGCCTTTGGTTTGCCATAGTCCCCTGACGACAGACAACTGGATCATTGACCAACTTCCGTGACTTGCGTACCTTGATATGATTTGGGAGAACATTTAGGTAGTAGCCGCAGGCGGTTGGAATGTCAGCGTTCACGCAAGATACGCCTACTCAGCTCACAATCCCTAGAATGGTCGTGCCGCTTCGAAGCAGCGACTAGGGAGAAGGGTGGAGCTCAGCCCAACAGACCTGGATTATTTACTGAGAAATCAGATGGGTAGCAACACATTTGCAAGGCTCTGAAGAAATTAAACGATGGAGTTAGATACATCAGACATGATCCAATTGAAAACGATTTTTATGAAAATCGCCACAAGAGATCATCCCGGAGGAAGGGCTGAGGTCGTGTCACCACAGAACAGCGCCTGGAATCCTCACCAGCGGTGTGCGCGTCCCTTTTTCAAGTATCCATGAGCCGTAGATGGCCCCAAAAAGCATTGCCGTCTGCACGCTCTGCCGAAAGGGCATGTCAGATGCGAGAGGCAGCCTCTAATCTACTTTGCGAATGCATCAAGAAGGGGCCAGCAATAACGAAAAAAGCCAGCTGCAGCTTAGTCGCACCGCGAATGCTACTCAAGGCTTGCGTTAGTGTATGTGACAGAACGTGTCACTATGGCCATGCCCATAATTAGTCGCATGGGCGGGCGCGGAGAGATTCAATCTGCCTGTGAGAGTTTCTGTCTCAAAGGATGTGGAGGGGAGATTACTCAGAAACACCGGCTTTGATGACTCATTTCACTGTTCATTTTCTCGTACTTGCTTTGCACTTATGCAAGCAGGTCGGTGAAATTGACTGGGGCACGAAACAATCGTGCTTCTGCTGGTCAGTGTTGATGCAAGAAACCTCGTGGGAATTTGCACAAATAGATTTGCTTCACGTATTGCCGAGCTTTCGCCTAGAGCAATGGACCTTGGAGACATGCACCCACGGACAGGACCGCAAGCCCCGGGCAGTGACCACTATGGTTTTGACGGAATGAAGCGAGAGCGAGTGAAAACGAGATCCGGCACTGGCTGCAATCTACCCGGCCCAGGGCCTTGCCTAGTTGGCCTCTCGCCGATCCCACATCGCGACACCATGGTGTGCTATGGACCATAGACCATCATGCCACAAGATCGGTTGAACGCGAATTGAGTTTGTCTGGCAGGAGAGCTAAAGGACCGAATTTGGGAAATTGCACAACGGGTGCGGCCGCTATTCCAGTAGCAATCAGCCTATATTGATGGCCAGAGCTGGCATGCACAGCACGCCGAGAACGAGATTCTGCAGATAAACTCGAACGTCTATGCTCATCACATGCAGTGCAGATGGCACGGTTGCTCGCTTTGACCGTGACGGGAGGAAGGATGTTCCCCCTCAGCAATTCTAGATCATCTTCAAGAGGTCGTCTGAGATGGCGACGGCAAGATGGCTGGGAGAAGTTGTTCTTTCGCATTGTACTGCCACTGTCAGGTCATGGGTGAACGATTGTTGCTCACAAATGTGACGGCTTGCAGGAGCGACTGTGCAACGTGGGCGCAAGATTGAGGCAGGAGCCTGCATGCAGATGCGCCGGTGACGGGTCGCACGGAGAAGGGAAAAAACAAACCGTCTGCTAGCTCCCATTGAGCTGAGTGGCTGGTCGGGCTGGTCCAGTTTGGGGGCACTTGTGTTGTCTAACATTCAGCGCACCCCCGCACATGTGAGACGGAAATGATGATTGTCGTGAATGTTGTTCAGCAGATCGGCTCTGTCCTGTGTTCCGTCTCCGCTTGCTTCTGTTGTTTGTCGTTGAGTGCAACGCTGCTGGAATACGCATTCGGACAAATTTGCCATGTGCTGCCGCTCCTGTGCGTGCTGCTTCGGGTGCCGAGGTAGGTGCTGTGGTACGTGCTATGCCTGCGGTACGTGCTGCGTGGTACGGCGTGTGCGCCACGTGCTCCTAATGCGAGGCAGGGATCAGTGAACGGGGCTGCCCGCCGCCACGGCCCATGATGATCAATTGAGCGGTCGGTTGGAAGGATTCGGGCAATAGGCATGGGTGAGCGCTTGGGGTGCTATCCATCCAGGTGGATTCACGATGGGTGCAGCAGCGGGTGCGTCAGCCATCAGCGTCGGGTCCGGCGCTCGAGACAAAGGGGATGAGGCCGTGCGTGCGCGCTGGGTGGTTGTGCGCGGGCATGAAGGGTCGAGTTGTGAGCGGAAAGTCTAACGAGTCAAGGTTCGGGCTGGGCTGGGCTGTGCCGCTCGACTGCCGTCAACTCTGAGAGCTCCATTGTAGCTGTCATTTGTTTCGGGTTGTGGTGTATTTACACAGGAGGTTCCCGGGAGGCTAGCAAGGCTTATCCTGTTTGCACTTGTCAGCTCACCGCAGGGCCACGAGTGTCAGGTGCTTTGCAGCTCATGGATCGTGCTTGGCTGGAGGGAGAGAGGGAGAGAGAGGGTGTGGTGACGTTCCACTGGCAAGCTGACAGCATGCGCTTTCCTTCCTTCGGGTATGCTGCGAGATGGCGGTTGGCGGATGGGGTGGCAGATCGTGCATGCTGATCAAGATAACGTTTGGACCCAGCCGGGAGAGTGGAATGTCGCAAATGACGAACTGCAGGGAGAACCAGAGTCCAGAGTCCAGAGTCCAGAGTCTAGGCCAGGCTGGGCAGAGAGCTGAGAGGGTCAGAGGGTCGGTTCTGCAGGTCTCTCTGCAGGCCTCTCCTGTGGTACAGGCCGGGGGCGACTCAAGAAGACGCCGCTCTCCATGCAGAAGCTGTTTGATGTTCTTTGCCCCTTGGGTGATCTGACCACCGTCGCGTACTGTGTAATGAACGCAGAGTAGTCCTGTTTGTCTTGTGTCGGTGTCGATGCTCGTTGCTGTGTATCTGTTAAGGTATGGTCTGGTGCGTTTTAGAGGTGGAGCTCGTCGTGAACCTAAACTCAAGCTGAGCTTGTCGTGTGTCCAGGTGCTGGTATTGAGTTGAGTCATTTTGGGAAACACGAGGAAAGGCATTCAGTCAGTCATCCAGTCTCTTTCTTTACCAGGGGTCGAGGAAGAAGGAGGAGGATGAGGAGGAGTAGGCAGGTTGGTAGCCTTGCTTGGACTGTGCCTTCCGTCCAAACAGTAGACCAAACCTTGCTGCGCCGCATTTGTCTACTTTTGCCATTTGGCCATGGCCAGGTCAGACCGAGCTTGCCTAATCCACTGATTAATTGATGGATTGACTGATTAATGATGATTGATGTGCATCGGGTACCATGGTAGTCTACTAGGCGGACCAAGAAGGCAGATCGAAGCTGTCGCAGGGTCGTCCAGACAGCCTGACAGCCTGACAGCCTGACGTCTGTCTGTACCGGGTAGCAGTCGTCCAGTTGTGAAGGAGGACGGAAGCAGGCACTGGTAGGCGGGAGGCGACAGGGTCGAATCTCTGGGCCCTTGCCCCATCTTGCTGATTTGATCCCTGCGGCCACGCGTGTTGGGTGCGACTGACCGGTACGTGGGAGGCAGGGGCAGGGTCCAGTACTCGGCAGTTACATGATCCAGCTGTCACTTTTGGGTGCAACGTCGTGTACCATTGCAGTCGCGAACTGTGGTCTGCCTCCTGAGCAAGGCCCCACAGGGCATGTGCAAGTTTAGTGGACCTTCCCAGGGTTGCCCAGGTGCAAACGAGCCTCTCAGCCTCTGTCCAAAGGGCCAGGAGAGAGGCCATTTGCACGCCACAGGGCCACAGGGCCACTTCACTTCAGGCCAGGCCAGACCCCACACAACCATCTTGCCATCTCTCTGAGCCCGTTGGTGGGTTGATGGGCTGGTGGCTGTTGATTGTCAGGGTGTGACTGTCCAGAAACGACCACTAACGCGGAACGCAACCCAACCAGCGACAAAGTACTGTGGTAGTGTAGATAGGCCTCCCTTCTCCCTTCCCCTTGCCCGTCCCTTCTCATGCAGCAGGGCACACACCCACCCACGGCACTGGCACCGCTTCGCACCGCACTGCACAACACAACACAACCCAAACCCAACGCGACGCAACCTAAGGAACCTCCTTAAACTACCTGGCACCGCTAGCGTTCACTTATTCTCAAACCACAATCACAGTTCCCCACGCAACCTCCGTCCTTGCCTTGGTCTCTCACCGTTGCCCAATTTCCGATCGTCACTTTACTTCACTTTCCCCCCTTCCGACTCTCCAGCATTCCCTTTTCCAGACCCTCATTTGATAAGCCACTTCCAGGTCTATTCCTAGGCATAAATCGCCTGGTTCTCGAGCTATTTACCTCGTATGCCCACCCGTCCCCACACTGATCCTCGTTGGGCTGGGCCTGAACTGATCCGAATTCGACCATAAAGGAGAGAGAGCGGCCGTCGAGACTTGAAACGCCAGAGCAAACCCCGTCCATCCGTCCATCCAGCCAGCCAGCCAGCCATTCAGCCATCCATCCACCATATCCACCCACTCATCTCTCCATCCATCCATTCATCCATCCACAACGTCGCTTCTCCCCCGACTCTGGCCCTCCACTTCTTTCTCCTTCCTTCAATCTCTGCATTAGCCTTCAACCCCAATCTCCTCCCCCTCGCCTTGGGATCCTCATCCTTCTCGAACTTCCAGCCAGACATCCGGATCCGAAGCCACCGCCCAGACTAGACTACTCTCCCACGCGACATTTGTCCGGCCTTGCACGATGCCCACTTCTCTGGAATCCTCTCGCCCAATTATGGCGCCCTCGGTACGTCACATTCTGGCTCAACTTTCTGCTGATCGCCACTGGAGCCACTCAGTGAACCATAATTTGTTCTACATAGGCGCAAAACTGCGCTTGCCCGCTACCTGCACCTCCCTGAGCCCCCATCCCGTGCTATCATCCAATGCCCTCCTGTCCCTCACTCGCTCTGTCGCTGCCACTGTCGCCGCTAGCGGTATTCGATTATCATTGTTGTTTTTGTTATTATTTTTCCAATCCCTCCTTTCGCAGCCAGAACAACTTCTTCGCTACTCTGCAAATAGAATCTCGCTGACCATAACCCTCCAAAGTCCCGAGCCTCCGTCCGCTACAGCACCTACTCCATGTCTCCCTCCCTGCACACCACCGATAGCGCCATCGCCGAGATCAGCGATATCGAGAAGGGCCTCACCCGCATGGAGAACAAGGCTCTTTCCTCCCAGCGTGTCTTCCTCAACGAAGACCAAAGCGACAGGATGAAGAAGCTGGCCCTCGGTGCCAAGCTCGAGCGCGCCCTCGACCGGAGGATGTCGAGCCAGGACGCTGTCATGCGGAAGAGGACAACCTCCACCGTCAGCCAAAAGAGCATGTCCGAGAAGGAGGCAGCGGCATAAATCCCATCTTGTCAAATGGCATATTGTTCAACGAGAAGGAAGGTCGCTGTTCCAGACAAAGAGCATGATGGACCAAGGGCCCATGTAACCGGACTACGGACCACGGAATTCGGCGACTCGGAATTGAGTCAGCAACATGGGCCAAAACAGAAATACCCCACGAGGAGCTGAGAAAGGAGCCCAGAAGCATTCTCGGAGTTTGGAGTCGGCTTCATCCAAAGGGGCGTCGTCCTATTTGGCGGACTAGGGATGGACAGATGTCTCCCGTCTGCCTTGTCGCTCATTCATTATCAACATCGAGGAACAAGGGGGGTCTGCCAATGTATTCCACGGTACAAGGAGTCGTACGGGGAATCCAGCATTGCATTGCTTTTTAGATGACGTGTTTGGTCATAGTATAACCAGTCATCCTGGGACTTTTTGTTTTGTGGGAGGGTGCTGCGTCAAATGTTGGACCTGGCAGAGCGGCTCGGCCAGGGGGCTACATTTGTATTTAAGCTGATGTTTCCCAACGGCGAGAAAGCAAATGCAATTTTAGAATGCGGCAGCGAACCACGCCATGGATTTGGATATCTATATCGGTGATATAGCTGAGAGACACCAGCATGCCTTTCGCTCCGCTGCTTTGAGGCAGCTCGTCCATAGAAGCACTGTTGCTGCTGGTGGAAATAATTAAGGAATAGTCGCCCACCCGTTAGATGAGTCCCCGTGACGCCAAACGCCTTGAACTGTAGAACACCAGCCGGGGGGTTATGGCACGGCATCCTGCCTACCATATCCCACCCGCTTCGATGCAGTCACAACCATCACTCTTTCTCCTTCCTCCCCAATAGCCACCATTCCTGCGTCTCGACGTTCCCCCATCCCCAAAAGCTTACTTGGGCAGCTTGGCCTCGATCTCCTTCAGCAGTTTAGCCAGCTCCGCGTCCTCGCCCTCCATCTCCAGCCCCTTGCCGACCCAGTCGCGCGCCTCCTCGTACCGGCCCATCTCGAACAGGCACCTGCCGCGGCGGTACCACGCCTTGGGGTTCCCGACCTTCTTGGCCTCGACGCTAGCCTCGGCATCGGCGCTCCCCTCGACCCAGTCCCGCAGCTCCATGTGCGCCTGGGCGCGGTTGGCGAGGAGCATGGCGCTCTCGTCGCGGATGAGGCCCGCGGGCTCCCACGCCGGCCGCGTCAGCGCCATCTGCACCCCGAGCGTGTAGAACTTGATCGCCTCGGCGTATTTGCCCTCCTTGAACGCCTTGTTGCCGCTCTCCTTCAGCTTCGTGATGTTGTTGGACCGCTTCGGGTGCACCGGCACCGGCGGGGGTGGGACCACTGCTGGGTGGTCCAGCGACAGCAGCGAGCGGTGCAGCGCGTTCAGCGTCTCGAGCTCCTGGGCCAGCGCGCGGGATGAGGTGGACGGGTGCGCCGCGCTTATCGCCTTGGACTGCGGGTCCATGTGCAGGGGCAGGAAGGTGAAGGTGTCCTGGTCGGTGGACATTGTGGCGGCGGTTTGGTGGGCTTTCTTTTTGGTATGAGGAGTGAACTGTTGGTGATGGTGGTGGTTTAATTTAGCTTGGTTTATTATGGGTTTTGTTGGATTTCGTAGCGGGCGTGTTCTATGCGATAGGAAGTCGTAGCGGAGAAATTGACAGCGAAGGGTGTCTGTATAGAAGAAAATAAGAAAATGAAAGGTGGTTGTGGTTGTGAGTTGGTTGAAATGCCGACTGGTGGTGGTGGTAGTTGGCGGCGCGGAAGAGGACAGCTTTGACTGCGATGAAATCCTTATCGGTGCCGATAAGAAGCCGCCTAGTTGACTTGGCTGGATGCGGATGGCTTGACTGCTTGTCTCACTTTATTTATTGTCTACTTGACTCTTAATGCCTTGTTCCGCTTCGTTTTCCTCTGATTTTACTCTGTAAACATCAACAAGACAGGCACGAACGGTGCACCACACGTTCCGTGGCAGCAAAATCATTCTCATCCACAAGAGCACACCACAACAACGTCATCAACAGCCCAAGCTCGTGCAAGATATTACTATTATTATGATCGATATATGCCTTGCTTATATGTACTCAGCCTCGAAACACCTTCTTTACTGATTTGGTGAGTGAGAATCCTCCGAAAAGCCAGTCATTTGCATGCCTGCCAGCATACGTGTGCACGTTCGTCTGTTGCACGCGCTGTGACGGTGGTTTCCTGCCCTTTGCCTTCTTGGATCTTCCAAACTGCGCCCCTCTGCACATGTAGCAACCCAAAACCTCGAGCAGGTGGCGTTCCTGGTACTTGAAGCAGTTTGCGGCCTCCTCGTTAAGGAGGTCCTTTGCAACCTGCAGGAGCAACCTCATCAGCACCTCGTCGCGCGTTTCCGCGAGGCTGTGCCAGTCTATTGTTGGCCCGTACACCGACGACTTTGCGGCGAACGTGGCGTGCCCGAATAACCTGCCAGACAGCTCCTTGTTCCGGAGGACCCGCAGACAGAAGTCCTCGAACAGGTTGTTCTTCCTAATAACGTCGAGCGCACACATCAGCGAGTTTGGATCCGCCACGAGTGAGGTGAAGGCATCGCTCTCTCCGGACGCCTTGACTCTCAAAACCCGCCGGTGACAGTCGTTCGCGTATCTCAAAGCTTCAAAAACGGTGTCCTCGTCGATGGACGAGATCTGGCCCAGCACAAAGGGCCGCTCGTAGCCGACCCGCTTGCGCCAGAATATATTGACGATACCCGACGTGATAATACAAGGCACGAGAAGGACGTATGCCCACCACTGCGTGGCGGTGATCAGGGCGGCCACACCGGCGACGATGCCTGTGAGGCCATTGAGGGCGGCGTGGAACTGGATGCTGGATGTGCGGTTGCGCAGCATCGAGCTAATACGCGTCGAGCCTTTGACGTAGTTCAGCGCGGCGGCCTGCTGCTTCTTGGCCCGGGCGAAGACGTAGCTTGACCACAGGAGGTTGGTGACTCCGAAGATGGCCGGGAAGGTGTTTCCGATGTACCCCGTCAACAAGTTGCTCGCCTTGTAGTTTGCACTGTCGTGGTTTCCGTCCATGGCCATGTACGTTCCAACACCGACCATGAACGCTGAGATGCCCAACAGGGTATCACTGCCGATACGGTCCACCAGCTCCGTGCCACTTTCTCTTGTGTTCATGTCCAGGAAGCAATCGATCGTGCGAAGCATGTTGGGGTTGTCGAGGTACAGCGGCCGCTGAGTGTTGAGGTAGTGGCGTTCTTCTCTTAGGGCACGGAGGTTGGCTATACTAAGGCGGCCGTCCTTGATACAGAAATAGATCATGCCCAGGGCGGCAGTACCTCCAATGCCCATGAGCACGAGGACATGCGTGGGGACGGGAGTCTGGTTCCATACGTTGGCAGCGAAGTCGCAGGCGTTGGCAGCCTCGAGGAAGCCGACGGCACCCAGCAGGCTGTTGCGCAGCTTGGTCTGCTTGTTCGGCTTGAAGCGACCATTGCGAGTCTTCTTGAAGTCGAGACATTCAGCTGCACCGGGAAGGGGCTGCGAAGACTGGTTTCGTCGATTGGTGGTGCCAGGCAGACGCACATCGCGGGTACTGATGCTACCGGCGGGCACGATGTCGTCGTTCCACCCGCCAAACTCTGAGGGAGGGGCGCTGGGCGGGTCACCGAGTGAGTATATAGACTCTAGCTCGAGCACCCAGCCCTGTGTCCTCTCGTCGTAGCTGTCGTTGCTCTCGAGGTCATATTCGAAGGTCTGGTCGGGGGGGTGGTGGTCGTTGCCGCTTGCCATGATGGGGCGGGGGTGACGCCTCGGAGGGGAGGGGGAGACGACAGCAGACACAGCAGATAGATGAGCAGACGACCTGCTTGCTATCAGAAACGGCCTTTCCTTTCCACTCACAGCAGATGGCTTGGTGGTATATGTTAGTATGGGAGTGTTGGAGGATGGAGGAGGATAGAGAGAAGTAGAAAATTGCCAGGAACGAGTGAAGTGGTGGTTTGAAGGGCAGACCAGACGACCAACGACGTAGGTCAGACCAAAAAATAGGTAGACCAGGTAAGACAGCGAAAAGGCGAGGGAAGTCCGGGGAAGAGGATAAGGTCGGTCCTAGTCTACGTACAGTAGGCCCAGCGAACCACTGCATAGGTACAGTAGTACGGTGGCCCTCAAGCCAGCCTAGGCTGCTTGGGGAGTAGGGCCCTTGACGTCGAAGGGCCCCCGTTTCCCACTGGTTTACTGGCTGGAGCATCGAAAAAACGGTCAACTGGGCAGGCCGGTGCGCATCTGCCGTCCCCACGCTTCCTCCACTTGTGGCTCCCTGATGGACCCAGCCTTGGATCTTGGTCTTGGTCAGTCCACAATTTTTTCTCGCCTTTTTATCTCTGCATGGCCAGATGCCTGGAGTCATGGACACCAGATGGACCCGATCTGCGTCCAGCATGCAGGCGTGTTAGGGTGGTAGGGCTCATCAGCCTGGCACGAGGCAATGCACTCTGACTCTGGCGTGACAGATCTGCTCTGCTCGTTTTTCCTCTGTTTTGCTGGAACAGGTCGACTTCATCCGAGTCTTTTTCTTTTCTGTTATCGCTGTCGCTTTTTGCTCGCTCAATCACCGACCGTCAATCGCCCCCAGCACCTGAGGTCCACTGCCACCATTATGCTTGGCGTCTGAAGCCTCCCTGCTCGTCGTCTTCTTGGCCGTGTCCACCATAGGCCAAAGGCGGATGGTCTCGTCTAGGCATCAGGTCAACCTTGACTCGTTCTACCTACATTGTATTCCCATCATCATCATGTGTGCTGGAGCAGTAGTTTCCAAGGAAAATAGATGCCAATGATCACCGACGAGACAGGCTAGCAACTGTTGTGGCCGTTGAACGGCGTCGTCTGTGATCAGGACGGGCTCGCCGCCAGCGCCAACGCCTAGCTTGGCCGTGTTGCTGGGTTCGGGCCTTCCAGAGCGCACTTGGCAATGCTCAGCATTGTGACCAATGTCTGGGCGCGCAGCTCGTCAGGGATTGCGAACGTCGCAGTTTGACAGACAATTCGGCCAGTAGCAGTACACAGCACACCATTTCTGTGGGCAGTCTCCTGTGCGACAACCTCTTGGCTCCCGAAGGAAACTCTGAGAACTTCCTCAAGGGGCGGGTTCCGTACTGATATACATTTGGTCACCATCCGCGCTAACCCTCATTCAAGATCCCTGCGAGGTTTACGCTGGATTGGACCCTACTGGACGTGAACATTTCAGAATGCTCCACCATTTCTCCCTGCCAGGCCTGCTCGCCATCCTCAACTGCCGGGCATGTGGGCGGCCCGTTCCCGATCGATCAGGAAAACTTTGTCGTCCATGATACGATGGTCCAAGTCTTCTGTGTCAGTCTTTCGTTTTCGTGGTGACGACATGCAGCGTCGTCCTGTGTCGGCGTCAATACGGCATCGGTGACGTTTATTGCTTGACCCCGCAAAGTGGGTGTATGAATGTGTGTATGGATGGCGCGATTTGCCATGCCCATCATGTCGTGCCTCTGTTGTGCTCCCCTGAGCTCGCGTCGTCCGGCGTTTCGGCCTTGAAATCGAGTGCCGGAGATCGAGCACGTCTCGGCCCGGATCCCCAGAGATCCTAGCTCAAGGTGTGGTTGTATGTAGATCGGATGCACTGCCTGCTCCCCACTCGGGCTCGGGGGCACGTCCTCAGTTTGAGCGCCGAGCCGCTTCTCCATACAACCTCATCGGATTCGGACTCTGTAGCAGCCCGGTTGACATCGTGAAGCTTCACTGATAAGTCGAGCAGCGTGCTGTAGCTATGGATTCAAAGTCACCATCAGCATGTCCTCGAGCGTGCTATCCATTGTTGTTAGCTGAGAACAAATTTTTAAACTGCTGCATTTGATTATTCGCTATCACTTCTCCTTGTTGCGCCCAAATACGGCTATATATCCGAGACCGAACCAGTTATGGCTCAAGGCAAGAGATTCAAGATCATCATTGCCGGGGGCGGTATCGCTGGCCTGACACTAGCCGCCATCCTCGAGAAATTCGACATTGACTATGTCCTGCTCGAGTCCCACGGCGACATCGCGCCTGAAGTCGGTGCCAGTATCGGCTTGTTCCCTAACGGACTGCGCATTCTCGACCAGTTGGGGTGCTATGAAGCCATCAGAGCATTGCCTGAAGGACAAATCAAGGTTACGCATATTCGTGACGAGAATGGCAGGTCCCTCTGCAAGTCGGCGGATCACAGGAAACACATGGAAAAGAGGCAAGCTCCTAATAAGACCTGTCTGCTTTGCTATAAATTTCGCCATCAGTACTAATATCTATCTTCAGGCTAGGGTACCCATCTATCTTCTTCGACCGCCAATGGCTGCTTAGGATACTCCACGACCATCTAGCCCATAAGGACCGGGTCAAGCTCAATAAGAAGATTACCCAGATCAAGCTCCTCAGTGACGGAGTGGAAGTCCTCACCAAGGACGGCGACACTTTCAAGGGTACAATTGTCGTCGGCGCCGATGGCATATACAGCACCGTTAGGGCAGAAATGTTCCGCCTTGCCAGCGAGATCCAACCCGATTACTTTGACCCAGAGGAGCTAAATAAGGTCCCCTGCTACTACAAATGCAGCTTTGGTATCGCAAAAGACGTCCCGAACTGGAATTATGAACAATTGAACATGGTTCGGTCGGATGGCGCAAGTCAGATGCTCATCTCGGGGCCCGACGGAAGGGTTTACTGGTTCTTTTTCAGCCAACTGCCCGAGACCAAGTACGGCAACGCCATCCCCAAGTACACCAAGGAGGACGAGGCTCAGTTCGTCAAGGAGAATGCCCACCGGCCCATCACCGAGACGATCAACTTCGGCCATGTGTACGAGAGACGCATCTCGTCGACCCTTACGCCCTTACATGAAAAGGTCTTCGAGAAGTGGTTCTTCCGGCGTATCTGTATCATGGGCGACGCCGCCCACAAGCCGAACCCTATCGGCGGACAAGGAGGCAACAACGCCATCGAGTCTCCCGCGTCGCTTGTTAACGTGCTGTTGGAGAAACGCGACAGCAGAGGAGGCAATTTGGACAACCTGTCAGGGAAAGAAATCGAAGAAGTCTTTTCACGGGTTCTGGACATCCGCCACGAGCGAGCGAAGTTGTTTGTGAAGCAAGCCCATCAGATGCAGTCGCTCTTCGCCAACGAGAAACCCCTGGTCACGAAAGTCTTGATGCGCCTCGACAAAATCAAAGGCATAGACGCCTCCGTTGACAGGCTGGGATCAATTTGCAGGCCTGCCGTGAGGATCAACAAGCTCCCTGTCCCCAAGCGGGCGAGAATAGTCCCTTTCGATGACGAACTCCCGGCGAAGCCCATCGAGCCCAAGGCACTCTTGCCTGTACAATTGCTGATTGTTGTCGCCATGATCTTCCTCTTGTTCATCTCAGTCGTCACCCTACGCATTCCGTTTGGGCGGCCCCCCATTTGGGGCCGTGACGGTCCCTTGGTGGACCGTCTCTGGATCAGGGGTGCGCCGGCCCTGAACGAACTCACCAACTTCATCGTCTCAACCTTCTCCCTACAGGTCGGCGTTCCAGACATCGGCCCGAAGATACACATTACAAACTTCTTCCTGGGCCAGCTGACGTCTTACGTCCTCATCTGGATTATTGAATCGTATCGTGCCGGCAACAAGGGAACCCTCATCTCGCTGCCCATGATCCCTCTATTCGTGATGCAGATACAGGGCATCTTCCGCATGGCCCCCCTTTATACCATGCTCGCCGTGTTCGAAGGATTCGATTTGTCCCCTGGCCGGTTCGTTCGCCCGGCCGTCGCCAAAGCACTGATTCCCGCATTAATGCTCGGATATATCCTGCCGACAATCTTGATGCTTCTGCCCACATCCAACGTTCCCGTCCTGCAGACCTACTGCGCAATCTGGCAGCCGTCCCCAGCTTTCGTAACCGTGCTCGTGTCGGTGTTCTCTAGGGTGATAAGCTGGTGGGACCGCCTCAGTGAGCAGAATGATAAAAAGGATGACAAGGCTATCGAGGAGAAGCAGAAGACCAAAGCCGACCAGAAGAAACAGCAGCAGCCGGAAAACTATGACCTACCGATGGAGGAATCCCTAGAGCGATACAAGAACCCAGACCTTCCCATCCTCCAGACCGCATACTCGGTGCTGTTCTGGTTGCAAGCGATCGCACACATCTCGACCGCCATCTATACCTACTTCCATCCGGACCTCACCATCAAGGAGCTCTTCTTCGGCCTGAAGGACCCGTTCGCCGCGGACTGGGGCCTGACTGACCCCGTCGACGCCATGATGGCCTTCCTGCAGTACGACATGGCCGTCTCGTGCGCCGCGCTGCTCGCCTACGAGCTGTTCTCCATCTTGAAGCTGCGCCAGATGGGCTACGTCACCACCCCCCACGCCGCCCTGGCCGTTCTGGGCGTCGCCGCCGGCCAGCTGACGGTCGGGCCCGGTGCAACCTGGGCGGCGCTGTGGTCCTGGCGCGAGGACGTCCTGGCGAATGTGGCGCCGGTAAGGTGATTACGTGGCGTTTGCATGGGCTTGTTGTGGTGCTGATGTGGCTTTGCGTGGCGTGACATGGTGTAGACGCATCGCTGTTGCCGGAGACTTTCCATGCCGATCGGAGCACGAATCCGGGACACCCCTGGAGTTGTTGATTTGAACTGTTTCATTTGTAGCATCTGTGTAATAGCATGAGTCTTGTCGGCTCTTTGAGTTCGTTTGGCATATATATTTGCTTGTTAGATATAGCGGCTGGTCTGGAATTGTGGGGCCGGAAATATGGAGATTGTAACACTTTAAGTAGGATCAATGTCTCGAATCACTTAAGACTTCAATATAAGACAGTCTTCGAGCTTTAATGGAATACTGCCTATTGTTAATTGGTCACCGTGAGGTATGTCAGCGCAATCATGGTATCTATTGGCTTCAGGCTGTTTATGGGTAATCGGCGCCAGAATGATTGCTCCACATGGTTTGCATTCGTCTTTGTTCATCTTGGAGGAAGCAGGTGTGTGCCTCGAGGCTCATTATGGGATCGGCCGAGTCTCTCATTACGTCGTTGTCTTGACAGACATATACATAGAAGGCGTCTTAGGGCTGGGACGCTATGTTTGCATGAGGCCGATCTCCTGCTATCTTGCCACGATAACCTATTCTCTCATCACTTTATCAGAATAGGATGGGAAAGGAAAAGATCTTCCGTCATGACAGAGTAATAGGCTACAAGAGGGCTTTGAAATGAGAGGCGCAACGAGTCCTCCCTGCTAATCGTGGCTTCGCGCAGGTACAAAGATCGAGATGTTGTGGATCACTCGCGTATCATACTTGAAATTTGTGTCAGACTGTCATAGTATCAGAGTCCTATATTCTGAAGAGCTCCAGTCTGTTAGTCTGAGAAATCAGAGCCGGATTGGCTGAAAGTCTTTGCAAATGGAGTCGTCTTGAAGGGTACCCTGCTTATCCACTTACCGTTGTGACGTTCAGCAACCCAGTCAGTCTATTGGGCTACTTAGTCCGTGTCCTGTTGACAAAAATTTGCTCACTAAACTCGTCTTTGATTCTCCACTCTTCTGGCCTAGCATTTCTGGACACGGTGAAGCTGCTCGAGTGCTTGTGAGTAGGTACGCGGCCCTCGAACCGCCTTTAGCAACCCTGCAATGCAAGAAATTGGTACTTAGAACATTACTCGAGATTGTTATATGCTGCTCTTGTCGCGCCTAGAGGCTGGAATTGCTGCTCTGCCACTCGTCGCCCGCGAGCCGTCTCAAAGACGGGAACAGCGCGTGTGGGCGGAGGCGGTTCCACCCGCATAGTCGACACCGACTAGACTGCCTGGGTGCTGGGATCAGCGCAGGATTCGAATGCTAGTGTCGTTTTGTGTTTGCAATCGATGGATTGACTGACTATAATGGCCCACTTGCTCTTGTTGTAGGCTTGTTTGTGTTCAGCGTGCCGGTCTGTATTCAGAGCTGAGTCTACTCGTTTTGCCGATGCACCGTGGTTCACTAGCACCTGCTCTTCCTTTCATAACAAAACACTAATATTCAATCCTATGTATTTTTATTTTGAAGAGCGCCACAGTAAAGGATCGTGACGTTCTTCTGACCGGCTTTAAGCTGCTCGGACCATCTCTTTGACCAATCAATTCGATGACTCCGCCAACGGCCATTGCTTCGTGACATTCGTGAAAACCAACTCCTTTCATTGCGATTTCTTCTTTTCAAACAACAACGCTTTTGTATCTTTTCCATTGCTTTTTGCACACTCCATGGACAAAACCAAAACGCCAAGGGAATGCAGACTGAGGAGGCCAAAGCAAGGACACGCACGCTAGTGGTCAACCCAACAAACACAATGAATGAATCCAGCCGTATCATCGTCGCGGAAGCGTTCATCCAGAGAATACTTCTCGTGGCTTCCAGCTCGAGTCGAACATTGACTCAGCAAAATAAAGAGGATGACACCATTTCCTCCACCATTGTTCGTTCTTGTTGTCGTAGAGCTCGTTCTCTTCGCCAATACTTCAGTATATTTTCCCAGGAAAAGCTGGGCCGAGATCACATACCGTTTTGTCTCTGTCTCCATTGATGTATCTCTTCCCATAGTTTTTGGACAGCAGCGAGTTGATCAGCCGTCAGTGCTCTCAGAGGTGTTTTGTTCCTTGCGCCCTGGTCGTTCAAGGAGAACTCCAGCGGGTTCGTGCTGTAGTTGTAATAGTGCCAGTGCGCAAGGATGATATTAGCGCTCTCATGGATATCTCTGATGATGTGAACATGCTTCGGACCCTAATTGAAAAGTCAACAAGGCGCGAATTTATGTCGCTGCTTCTGTGTCGATGAGCTCGGAATAATGAGAATGGGAAACACACCTCGCCCTTGATGTCCTTGTCATACCAGCCATGATGATACGCATCCTCTGTTGCTTTAGCCAGCTCGCTAAGCAGGATAAAAGTTGCGAAAAAGATACTCATCCAGCAGTCGTAATTCCGTTCAGCGATCCATTTCATGAGCACTTTGAGGAGCGATTTTGTAAGCGGCTTTAGGACGCAAGAAATGCGGATGCAGTCTATCTGGCCCACGACTACTCTTGGAGTAGCGAATTCGCCTTTGAGCGGCGGGAAACGTTCGATTACCTCTGTGCCTGGGAGCTTTTCTTTTATCCAGGACCACCCCATTGAATGCCCTGTGAAAAGAATTCAGATTAGACAAACTGACGACGTCCATACAGCTGGACAAGTGGTACTGACTCAAAGCAAACCATAGCTCAAAGAAACCGAAGAGGAACTGCTTCTCAGATATTATTGGCAATTTCTTTCCCATGGGCGGATAGAAGTCATGGCCTTGGTCGTCATCCGGAAGGCTGCAGAAGTAATACCAAGCCTTCTGAAAGACTTCCCCAACGACTGCAACGTCATAATTCAACTCACGAAACTCGTTCGCAACCTTCTGGATGGCTGGCTGGATGGCTGGCTGACAGTTCTCATTGCCGAGAACGCTGATGTGGATATAGGCCTTGTAGCGTAGTATAGTCTCGTGCACGTTGGCAAGCCCGAAGCCGGCGATTTCCTCTCTGTCAAGCCCGATCCCTGTAAACCACACACGTTTATCCTGATCGTTGTAGCTATCTCGGCTTGCCTTTGGCAACTTGCGAACTTCGAATATAAAGGGGGCATCTATGCCTTCTTGGCACATCTGGACGGAACGAACCCGGCCTTGGGTCACCACGTTCCGGACCTGGGCGCCATGCCAGCGGTCCGTGACTTTCGACCCCGAGGTCCGAAAGAGCACAACCTCCTGGAGCTTGTAGCGGTGGCAGCCGATGTGATATCTGACTTTCTTGGACTGGTTCAGTGCAACCCTTAAACATCCCTCACAGGGCCCTGCTGGGTCGTTGTCGTTGGGTGTACACTGACAATGTTTCAGCGGCTGGAACTTGAATATCTTGCGGGGGGAACTTCACTCACTCGAACGCGTTGAATTTTACAGCGCACACAAGCTCCTACCTCTCGCGTCCGGCTTGTCTGCTGCCGCTCACTTTCCTCGAGCCGCTTTCTGGGTTTCCTGGGCTTTTTATCCTCTTTCTCAGACTGTTTCGTAGCGGTCAACGACTCATGGCTTACTATGACCCACGAATTGGATATATTGGCGTTTGAGCACCGTGGGCAACGAACGTTGACAGGCTGTGTATCGCAGGTGCACCGCTCTAAGGTTCCCTGGTTGTCATGAGGGGCTGTAAGTAGTTCTTCCTTGATATCAGGAATATCGCGGGAAGATTGATCTGAATTTTGCCGTGGACGCAACACCAAGGGGTTTCTCTGGATTGCGTGACCTGCGTTGGGGTCATCTCTGAGGTGCTGTTCCTCTCCCGCGAGATGTGACAGTGGCGGGCTGCAATTGTTCAATGCCTGTTGCAAGGAGGGCTGCACAGGTATTCCCATGTCAGTCCATGCGAGCTCACTGGGAAGGATAGAGGACTCTGGCTGCTGGGTGAGCCATGGCTGATGATGACGTGGTATCTGCCCGTCCACTTCTTCCGATGGAGGTTGGGAGGTTGGAAAGGCAACGTGACGGGGTGCTGGATAATGTTCCCCGCCACCCATATTGAGTTCATCTGTTGCTGTCCAAGGGAAGTAAAGAAAGTCTGTGGGAGCTGCGGTATGGCAAGATATTGGACCGTTGCAGTCGACTAAGTTTGCAAATTCTATCTGTGGTGCAGAAAATCGTGCTTGAAGCAATGGTCCAGTCTCAGCTATAGTGTTTCCACATAATTCTGGCGATGACAGTGTTTGAGAAATGACACTAGACCAGTCGATGTGGGGAGTTCCATGAGAACTGATGGGTGACGCTTTTATGCTGGATTGTGATACCGAAGGCGAAGATTGGAAAAGAAATGGTGGATCCTGCACAGACCGCGATATCAATGGCTCAAGTAACCATCCCTCAAGTGAGTCTGCTTCGTACGAGGACGAATTGTGGTAGAGGGGTAAGATGCCAGATCCGATTATCTCTTCTGCGGGGAACAAAGCTCTCTCTGGGAGGTTAGGAACGCACAATTGACGCTGCTGGGCGGTTTGATGCCCAGTCGTGGTCTTTATGTGGTCTGGGGTAGAATCAAAGGTCTCTCTCGGCCAGACGACCTCCGAAGACTCAGGCTCGACGGCTGCATGGAAGTTCCACACTTCGATGTGACCACCGGGAAAGCACTGATTCTGTGTGCGTAGCTTCTTCACAGCTGGCCTTTCCGTCAAGATTGGGCTGATGACATGGTCCAAGCTGATATGGTCTCTTTGACGTTTCCGTGGGAAACCCACAGATGCAGGCGCCTATTAGGGTAGGGGAATAGTTAACTTGTTTGTTATTTTATGGTACAGAAGTAAAGACGGAGACCAGATAGTAATGTGAAGAATGATGGAAGGAGAGCGCAGATATATTTGCGTTGAAGTGACAATCCCGTCGAACGAACCTTCTGTCTATGGATGGGAACCATCACGGCGGTCTTATAGTCACACAGAATCTCAGCAGACAAGCCAGGATCTCCACCTCACAGTTCAAGGATCATCCAACCCGACGGCTGCGGCTCTCCTTCAGCAGCTGCCCCGGTCACGGAACGCCTGACCTTCTCGATGTCAGACTAGGGAAGAAGCCGATGTACGGGTAGCCGGTCCACGCAGGGACCGGTCGAAGATCACCAGGCGATGCCGAACGTCCAATGGCGCCGCGTCGCAGTCCAAGTATGACAAGGAATTCCAAGGGCTGAGTCTGGAGGACCGGTTTCAATATGGGAACCCCAAATGCCTGCTGGGTAACGGGAAGGCTTTGACTAGTGGCCAACCGTGGAACGGCCCGACACGATCTGAGATCTGAAGCCGGCCAAAACCATGGAGTGGAGTGCGTGAGTCGCCGCAAGCTTACATCCGCCAGTCCGAGCTGACGCCCACGTGGGTCGCCAGGGACGCTTGCTTGCTGGGCTTTAGCTTGAAGAGCAGAGACACCGCACGACACGACTGGCCTCTACCAATTTCGGGCTTCGGTGAAGAAAAGTTGGTGAGACAGAGACAGGTCGAAGAACAGGAAACGTGGGGGGAGGGGGAAGGACGTTTAATCAATGAACCCCCACAGAAAGTAGCCCAGACGATGCCGTGGATGCCATGTAGCTCCGCGGACGGATGCTTGTTTGAACATGCAGGCCATTGTCGTGTCCGGCTGCACGCAGCAAGTATTGACTCTTGTACTCGGTGGTTGGTCAACTGGTTGAGAGTGGATATGGCCAGGAAGCTCGTCCAGACCCTGTTTAGACGAGGGCGACTTGGATCTGCATGTTTGTGTGCGTGTGTATGTGTGCACTCGTGGTAACACCCCGCGGATGCAGCAAGCATGTTTGGAGGCTATAAGCCAACCATATTACTGATCCTCAGGAAGAGATCCATTTTTGTATGCCGACATATCTTATTTGGACGGGCCATTGATGCCTTGGGCGTTGATATCGGAGTCTTCAAGGCTCGCGAGTTAAACATAGGACGAGCTGTTGGTCCCAGGTATTTACATCCACCAGCTATCGGGAACCTGAGATGGGACATGCTGATCTTTCAGTTACTGAGTGGGAACAGGTTCGATGCTGACTTGGTCGAGGACCTTCCAGTCATCGAGATGTATGTACGCTTGGTAGGCAGAATGCTTGCTATTCTTGGAGTGACGCGGCGTAAAGCCAGTTTCCTGCCTCTGTGCCGCAAGACCTAGAATAGAGAGCCCTTCTCACCTTGCATTCGCCGTAACCAGACAACGAGCAGATAGCTTACTCTCAACGAGTGCCCTTTCGACGGTGAATCTGCTAGAACATGTGACACAGTGGCTATGTTGTTTTGGCACGATATATGGGCACGATGGAGACTGCCACAGTCTGAACTGAAATAGCAGCAATTCCTGGGCAGCCTGGATGGTGAGCGTGAACGTGGCACGTTCATCTTGACCGGTCGGGGTAGATACTAGGGCGGTGAACGCTTAGCATGGTGAGGCCCCCAAGTCATGGATGGAGCCCGGCGCCCCAGGGTCTGGCAATTCACTGTATTTAGGGTCGGCAGTGGATGGGATAATCCTCTCTTGGATAAGGCTCCGGAAATTCCACCCACACAGAAGAGGTGAATTGCCGTGTTCTCTTCCGCACTCTTTCTTTCGGTCACTGATGGGTCTGCCTTCTTGTGACCGGTCGTCCTAGAAGGGATAGGCATCGGCTGAGACGGACTTGACATCATGGGAAGATTGTGTACGTGGTCCGCTGCCGTCCATCAATCTTTTTTCAACACCAAACCCAAAGGTATCAAACTGTACAGCCCATCTTGAACGCGATTCTCTAACATTTTTTCGATTCCGAGACGCGATGCACAACCAACTCTGCCTGTCGTGCCTCTTTCATACCCGAGAGCGAGCTTCGGATGATCGTCAAACCTTCCACAAGCTAAACGCTTCAATGGATGCAAGATGTTGAACAACAAAGTAAGTTCTTAGACTTGATGGTGTATATGATGCATCAGGGCTAGAAAGAAACCAACAGCCAACCTATAGGTAACTGCCGTCGAGGGCCATTCACTAGGTGATATAGCCTATACTTCACGCAGGACAGACTCCAACAGGTGCCTGGCGAGACCTTGTGTGCGACCACGCTGCACTGCCAACTTGGTTCAGGCGGGTTGGGACCCGCTCGGCGTGTTCCCTGGCAAGTTCCGAGATTTCCATACCCAGTGGAGCACCCGAGAACCTGTAAGGCTAGGGTACATGGCGTTGTGCTCAAATGCGATTCATTGAGAAACAGGTGGCAACGTCTCCATTATTAGACTACCATGACACTGTGTGGTTCCAACAGGCGACATGTCTACCAGCCACTAGTAACCAAGTGGAGGCTGGCACGCTGGTACCTTGTGACAACAGTGAGAGCGGATCCACGGGCCAAACTCACACGTAGACACCCGAAGACTTAGGGGGAAAAGACACGGGCCAGAGCCAAGTAAAGGGAGAGCAGGGTGTGTGCCGCGCTGATGCAGCTGTCCTGGCTAGTACTGTGCCAATATTTCGTTGATGGCTTACGCCAGCCATTCCAAAAGTTCAGGGCCGAAAAGATCACCTTACTTCTGTAGCTCTTCGCTACAAAGTTTGCCCCCTCCTTGCTTGTCTGGGCTCGCGTAGAACCTTCAGCATGTTCCAGTCGGACCACGTCCGCAGACACTCGGCATCACTCTAAGTTCACCAACTGTTCCGCACCACGTATCCAACAACTGGCTCTTGATTTTTCACGCCTCACACATCTTTCAACATGACAGGCTCCGGATGACGCTCCTGTCCGATGACGAGCATATTAACACTGCAGGCTGGAAATTCGCAGGTCTCTATAACCACTCATGTAGTGAATCGCTACTCATGAGACTACAAAGAAAGATGCAGGAATCAGGTAAGAGATGCTTTCAATCGAGTTCATCCGATGGTGACAGCTCGCTGGGTGATGCTCTGGATTTCTTCGAGTTCCTTGGCAGCTACGGCGAAGGGAGAAGGCCTGTCTCACTAGAATCTCTTTCGGCGCTAGAAGCAAGGAACTGGAACACAGTTCCAGGCCTGGTCCTTAACGAGCAACTGAAGGTTTTAAGCCTGGTAAGGCAACCTGTGGGTGTGTGGTAGCACTCGAAATTTGAGGCCACATCCCCCCTGCCCCGGAGACCGCAAAGGGCTTGGGCTGTTGGGCCTGGCAGGCCGACCTTTGCGATTCAATTATTTTGTCCCACTACGCTGTGTTCACTCTGCCGATCGCTCACGTTGAATCTGCACGTCTGAAAAAGAAGCAGATCAGTGTCCATTCTACGAGTGATCACATAGCCATACCCCGGTCGACCTGTCAATCTTTCCAATCCTGAGTACGCATGTTCGAGTTGTTCCGCGATCCTAGCTTCTCACCGCACTATCTTAAGGTTCTCTCTCCCGCTGATGTCCCAGCTTCTCTTGCCACACTGAAATGCTGAGGCTCGCTACGTGATCTGCGCCTCGCAGAATGCATGGCCACGACATATAGGCCGCACCTTCACCCTTAGCTTATCATCCGATGTGGCTTGTGGTATCTCATACAGCCGGGCACCCGGACACTGAATGAGTATGCAGTGTAACTGTTTGCATGCCACAAGGCATATATTCGTACATGTCAATGAGCTGTCAGCCACTGGGGTGTTGGTGATCATGGAATGGAATTGGGGCTCTCGGCTCCGGCTCTTCAACAGCGCTTGGCTACCAGGGGAGCACTCGGATGGCGTACAACAGGAGGCTAATCTCCAGCTACATTCTAGGAGGCTCATTCTTCTTTCTTCTTTTCTATTCCCTCATTTCTGATCATTACCAATCTCTGGTCATCGCCGCAAGGGGGCGGCAAGAAAAAATCACATCATCAGTAACAAGATGAAATTCCAGTCACACACGATGTGATCTGATAAGCAGCCTCCTGTTCAACCCACAGCAGTGCATTTAGCAGGATATGTCAATCGGGCTTGCAGCCGCAAAAGTAGAATGGCAAGCTGTGCGACCCGCCAAAGATCGGAGACTACACTGGAAAATCGGATCTCCACGTCGTCTATGTCGATCACGCGCAGGTTCACGCTTGACATGTTGTCTTCTGCTATCAAGTTCGATCATGGAGTCCGAATGATGTGACTGGGTCATGCGCCTATCTTTCTGACATGGGGAATCACCGTAGTGTTTGTCCTTCGTTACCTCTGGCGTGTCTGTTGCAAGCGAAATGCAGCCTCCAGCGCCTTCTCGGCATTGAGAGCCTCGAGCTTACACTCCGCACGATTGGAGACTGATCCGCGCAGGGCCGATCTCCAAAGGGGCTACTCCGACAGCAACCGAAGACCGGGAGAGGGCATCCATTTTGCTGTCGGTACCTTTGATTGGACATTCATAGCGACTTCATCGAACGGAGGTCATCCTGAGCCTACAACCCGCACCGAAATCTCATTGCTAAGTCAGTACAGTATAGACTCACCGCACTTTGCTATTTGATATAATCCATGGCGATCTGCCTATCGCCCTTTGAACTCCCTATCATTTCAAGAACTCATCATTACTGTGTCGCACAGCGTTCCGACAATAATTTACAGTGGCCCTTGGGCTAGCCACATCGTCTTCAGCGTATAAAGAAGTGCGGGGAAGTAATCATCGAACTCGCAGGTTCGCAGTGCAGTCTTAAAACGATGCTTTCTCTTACGACGAGCTTTGCCAATAGCCGCTTCCACAGCAAAGACCGCCCTTTTCCCCGTGGATATTTCCGTAGAAGTCCACTGGCTATAGTATCTACTTCCCTATGCGCCTGATGCATTTGGAAACCAACATGTTTACAGAAAAAGAAGGCAGCCGAGAAATATCGCTGAATCGGCGAGTTGCTTGAGCGTGAAGGATCCTCAGGTGAACTTGCGGGAAGGGAACGCTGGTCTTGACCACGTCACAAGTTATCAGAACGTCTAAAAATGCTTGTAACCAACACAGCAATCAAATATGTTCGAAATGATAGACTGCATTATTCTCTTTGTCACAGGCTCACAGTGAAACATTGACCAAAGGCTATCCCTATACTCTAAGTACATAGGACACCAGCAAAGTCCCTACTGGCTTCTTTAAATTTTATAAATAAATACAGATATCATTGAAATAGCAGAACTCAGTCGATTTCGGGCTCAAGAAGCTTTCAGTCACCAGTCTAAGATCCTTTCGACAATCTTTTGCTGCTACAGCCTGAGTAGCCCTTATGTCATTCATCAATCCTATCGACAGATCGGCTACTCGACGGCTTGTGACTTGCAATTAGACAAGATAAAGCCTCAGTAAAATGAACAACATGAAGGCCAGCGAAGCCTGAGAGTTTAAAATCCGAATTTCAACTCTTCGGAGGGGGTGGGGGAACTTCGTCATTCTGCACATACTGGATCATTCTGGCCCAAATCATACTTCCCAGAAATGGCTTTGATCGATCGCACATTCCCCGCTCCGTGCGTGCCAACAGGATCTTGATCTCGCGAAGCGTTATTCAAATAGATCCGATGCACGACAAGCCCACACTCCCCAGAGAACTTCTGGTGTTACGCAGTAGTCTCGACGGACAATGACAGAGCAGCATCATCGTCAGATTCCTCTGTGCAATACTTCGCCATACAGTAACTCCATCATAAAACATCCCAGGGAGTCGGTCTGGGAGCACAAATTGCATTGTACTCTGGAGATTACACTGTGACATCTGCAGGATTGTGATATAAACGCTACACACCGGTCTACCCTCTTATAGAAGGCATATAAATAAAAATGGGTACAATACTGCAACATCAGAACCAACTGCAGATAATATCAGCCCAACCAGTCTTGGCGCATGCTATGACCGGACGGAGGACGCTGATCCATTTCGGTTTCCGCCCCCACAAACTCCTGATCACCTGATGTCTATAGGCGCGCACTTCAGATGAGTTGGAACATTTAGCAAGATGCAATCGGCCGCGTAGATAATTCTTCTGCTGGAGCTGACTGCGCCTGGAGACACCATCGCCGCAAATCCATGGTTTAGCCCGTACAGTAGCCCAGGATGCTCCATTTCTGGAAACAGCAGGCATCCTTCAAGCCGGCCGAGGTCCGGAGTGCCGACCTGCATGGACAAACGGCCGTTATCACCGGCTCCAACACCGGCGTCGGGTTCCACACCGCCCGGCAGCTGCTGGATCTAGGGCTGACGAGACTCATTCTCGCCGTTCGGAACGAAGACAAGGGCAACGCGGCCGCTGCCCGGTTATACGAGGCTTGTGAGCTCGCTGAGGGAACCGCCATTGAGGTTTGGCCACTTGACCTCTCCTCGTACGAGTCGGTCATGGCCTTTGCTCAACGCGCGCAGAGCCTCAACCGGTTGGATATCGTCAATCTCAACGCGGGTATTGGCCCCGCCAAGCGCGTCTTCAACGCCAACACCGGCCACGACGAGGTGATCCAGGTGAACTATCTTTCCACGGCACTCCTGGCGGTTTTGCTCCTGCCTGTCGCTGAAGAGAAGAGGTCCAACCAGCCGCGGCCTAGTTGCATCACCCTGACGCTATCTGAGGTTGCGTCTTGGACCAAATTTACTGAACAAACGGAGACTTCCCTGCTGAAGTCCCTAGACAGCAAGCAGGGCAAAGTCGATATGCTGGATCGTATGTGTGTGTCCAAGCTGCTGGGGCAGTTTCTGCTCGTGCAGCTGGCGGCCGCGGTGCCACCTTCGGTCGCTTTGATCAATGGGGCCTCGCCAGGGGCCGTCCACGATTCCGAATTTGGCCGAGAATTTCACAAGACATTCGCGGGAGCTGTTTACAAGAAACTCGTCCTGAAGCATTTGGGTAACTCATCCGAGATGGCCGCCTGGGCGATGACAGACGCTATTGTCAACCATGGCAACGAAACCCACGGAAAGTTCTTGTCTTTCCAAAAGGTCGCGCCGTAAGTGTCCTTGAAGTCAACATACAACCGTACCTTTGAGTGTATCAAAATATGGTAAATGGCTAACACTTTGTGTGTTACAGCATGGCTCCTATTGTCTCCTCAGAGCGGGGACAGCAGGTATCAGACCGACTCTGGAAGGAGACGATGGAAGAGCTGTCGTTTGCCAACGTAGAGGAGATTGTAAGGACATTTAAAGGCTAACGATGGGAATTCGGAGAGACTGGTTTCATCTCTGGCCACACTTTCTTACGAAGACATTCTAATTCACTTATTCGTGAAAACATCACAATACACTCCAATTTTGCATCAACACGTCGCCATTGCACGTAGTCGATGTCCTGGAAGTCCGATACGCAAATCGCCTTTGAGAAATGCACGTCTCTATTCCCGCACAAGCAATATCCCATTTGATTGAGTACTTCAGGTAAAAAAGCTGATATTCGAGCACTTGAGTGGAACTCTCAGCTACATCCCTCCAACTACGAAGCCCCCGAGTCTGGACAATATGCGGCCAAAGGGCACCTATGATTGTGGAGCAAGATATGTCCCCTGGGCATTGAATATCTCACGACATGGTCTGCTCACTGCACAATGGCGGGTGTAAAAGTTGCGCTTCATGCATATGCGGGTAAGTAGTCTTGCTTAGATATGCTGTAAATGAGACCTCTTGAGGAAGCTTCAAGACACCGAATTTATTCTGACTTTTCCAACAACACATAATTCGGGTGCTTGACCACATTTGGGAACACAACAATGGCGTAAAAGCTATTAGCAACGCGGGGTGAGAGCTCGTGGGAGGTCTAGTGTGCGGCACAGCTGCGGTATATGAAGCAGGCAGTCAGACTCAAACTGTGACCCCAATGGTAGAGGGAAGAATTTCTGATTTGTAAAGTTCCGAAGACCAACCAACCGCCAAGCCAGTTACTCTTGTAATCTGCGGAGTAAAACCCCTCTATTCAGCAATCAGTCCTCCAGCTACTATCTCAATCCTTCCAATCAGTCCACATTGCAGTGCCTCAAATCGCGCCCCTCGTGAATCATAGCAGAGACCCAAGAAATCAAAATGTCGTCCAAGCGGTTGCAGACTGCTACCAAGTTCGTGGATCATTATGCCAAGCATGACAACGAGGTGCTTCACACCTTGCTCACCGACGACCTTACCTATGAGTTTGCGCCGTCCCGCTCTCTTGACAACTTGAAAGCACTGGACAAGGCAGGCTATCTTGAATTCAAGGAAGGCATGAAGCTAGCAATGACCGGATACCCACTCGATGTCAATAAGTATATTGAAGGAGAAAGCGCCAATAGTAAGTTTCTTGGACATTTCTCCCTGGTTTCATTTGTCCCTTCGTCCGGCTACGCACCTCGATCTGTTCCCCTGGAGGCCTCTCCAATCGCTTCTCCAAGAGACCCCTATAGTGATCTGCGGCAGACCCGCATAGAGCAGTTTCGCTGACACAGTAATGCAGTGGTCGTTGTCTGGGCCACGGGCGGCCCGCAGTGGCGGGAGGAACTCAAGGACTACGAGGTGTTTTCCGAGGAACAATGGGCGTATGTGGGCGAGTTCGTCTTCATGCTGACCATGGACGAGACGGGGGAAAAGATCACCAAGATTGTCGAGTTCGTGGATAGCAAAGGCACGGACAACAAGATTTGGCCCCTGGCTCAGCGTGCCTTGGGCAACTTGCAGAAGCCGAAGTAGTCGTCTGGAAACTGGTTGAATTTCGATGGAAGTGCACCGATTGTCTCCAAAAAGAACCTCGGAATATCATCAAGGATACTGGAGTACACACGAAGACGACTATATTTTGCACCTCGCCAGCGTTGGGAAGCCTTCCTCGCGTACCTATTAGCTCGCGCTTGCGCACGACACCGTTGATCCATGCATGCCCATTCTACCCCTTTCAAGCACCCGGTATACCAAGCTCGTCGAGGTGCAAATTCCGAATTCAAATTTCTATTCCGTGAAGGCTCCTGCTAATTCAAGTAGGCATTAATTTGTATCTCATACGAAGTAGGATGTGTCATGACACTCATTATCGTCTCCATGAATGATCGCATATCCCTCACATCGTTCAGAACCTTGTCCAAGTACCCCTTTGACCCTAGAATATAACGATGTCTTGCTCCTCCAAACCTAAGTCTAACCAATCTGGATGGGGGAGAAAACCTGCACCGATTCGTACAGGGTAATCATAACCCATTAGATTCTTATCATAGCTGCTTACCATGAAAGCCTCCCCCAGCAGCTGGTATAGCCCCGTGGCCTCTGACTTGCGCAGCACGAATGGCGTCTTGGTACCATATAAGATATAGCATAAGTCGCCCTCTTCTGCCACGCCAGGAGCCAGACAATAGAATCCACGTTGCGTAATAGTGATCTTGTGATTGTGGATGTGATCTACGACTATGCTGTGCATCAATTGCAGTCGTTCGTCTTCTTTTAAGCTCACAGAATTGGCTGCGGCGATAGCATCTCTTGGACCATGCTCTACAGGAAGCTGCCCTTCTAAATGCTGAATGTACATTGATTCAATAGCAATCGCTTCCTCGTAATTGCTATTCCTGTGAGCCCCGCTTCTGCCACAGGTAATAGCTTCCAGGAAAGCTGAGACGGGCGGGTATTTTGCATGTACTGACAAGCTATGTCGATGCTCGTATTCCTGAAATTTCGCCCAGACTTTCGCAAGGTCGGCCACACTGCAGGGTTCATTGAGGCAACCTGACGCAAAAGCCACTGAATCGATAAGCATGCCTTTCAAATTGAGATATCCGACCCCATATTTACCCCTTTTCGCGACAGGAGTAGTGACAGGCATTCTTTCCGGGGCGATGGGCGCACACCATGATCTTGTGAGGAGTATGCGATATATATTTGTCTGCCACTGTGGGACCCAGGAGGGGAATGCCGAAAATACAGTGTTTCCGTCGTGCTCAACAAAGTGCAAAAGCTCAAGATCTCGAATTTGATCGACGCAGAAGCGAGCAAAGGAATGGTAAGTCTCGAGCATTGTTGCCTCATAACTGATTTCCAGGCCGTTTCTGTAGTATTTTGCTATTGGCAGACCCATGAAAGCATATATGCGATCTCTCGGATCGGTGAATGCAAGGGTTTTAGCGCAGTGCAGTATGTCGGGTAGAGAGTATAGCCTGAAGTTATGTTCAGGGAAAAATTTGATGGCCTCGGACTTGAACCGGGACTGGTAGCTATCAATGTGAAGAACTAGGCTGTTTGGATTGTACTTTTCGAATGCGCTCTCGATGCGCCTCACCTTCCATGTAAATATGCGTAGAACATGTGACCAATCGCAATTAAGCCTTCCATAGATAACTTGGGCCTTAGGAGCGAGTGTCGCTTCCTGAATGACCCAGCCACGATAGAACCAAGCTTTCTTAGTAAAGGCACTGAATGACTCCCATCTCGTATCATGGAGCAGAGGGTGCGTCAATGGGACTTCTGGGAAAGAATCCCAGCCGTGACACGATCTCAGCTGGTCCTCAATCACACGATTCACATCACGGATGAAGGAGAAAGCCCGTTCCGCGTGATCGTCGTCATCCGGACCAAGGCATATCAGAACTTGCGTGGCTTGAGAGTATACACCAGCCATCAATCGAACCTGATGTGATTTCTCATGCTTGTCGTCCTGATTGATGCAGATCGAGTCGGCCCAGAGCACGCGCTGCTCGTTCGGCAACCTGCATTGCCTCAGGGAGTCGCGAAGAGTCCTCGTGATGGAAATCTGGCGTCCATCACATACTATCTCGCTTCGGAAAAGTGGCAACCCCCAGGCGTACGAGATTGCTTCGTACTCAGGCGCTTCTGTAAGCTTGTAGGTCTTGATGCTGCCGGTGAGCGGGTCCTCATCCTGTCCGGGCTCTAATATGAGGCAGCGGATTTCGTCTTGAGGTGAGATTGGAGTGTACTTGTATGCTTCCATGTCGACATATTCTTCCTTTGCGAAAGGTGCCCATGGGAATGAAAGATCGTCCATGGCTTTCAAAGGTAGAGACTGCCCGGGATGGTGTTCGAAGGGCTCTCTCTGTGTATGTGTATATTTATATGCGTCTATATGTACGCAGAGCGCGAGGACTTGAATACCATCGGGAGAAAGCATAACGGAGCATAGTATATCGATTGACACGACTTTGAAGTCAAGAGCTCTTTTCAAATAACATCAAGAAATGGTGCAATATCATCCCAAGAGCGGGGCATGACTCCGCACATGACTCTATATTTGCCGACATGCTTGAGAATGCAGCTGCGAAATCAGGTGTGTTAGGACCCCGAGTGCAAGATAAGTGAAGAGATGGCAGCAGAACACCTCATTGGCGGAAACCATCAGTAGGGTTTCAGGCACCTAGACATGCAGAAGCAACAAATATCTGTACCGTACGTTGTCACATCACACTGGTCTAGTGTGGTAATATGGTTTTACGAGGCATTAGCGGATCGTGTTTCGCCGCGTTGCAGATGCACACATTGTCGGATAGCCTCTCATAATTAAGCAAGTCCAGAAAAAGTTAACATAGATACCGAAGAAAATAAAATAGGATAATTTTCATGACGAGTTTAGCTACAATTTCGTGAAGTATGTACAGGATTAAGTAACCTCTCAGGGAGGGTGGCTGGTTTATATTTGCAAGAAACAATGGACCCGAGCATCAAATGATAGGCTGGCGATGTCCCTAGAGAAGAAGTCTACTGATGTGTCTGAAGAAGTCTACTGATGTGTCTTCTAACAAGTAGAAACGATTATTTGATACATTTATACCGGTGACAAAGGAATTACAAAGACATACGAACACAGACTTCACTGATCGACAAGACTCATGAGCTCGGGTCCCAGATGAGCTCGATGACCTCGTCGACAGGGTCCGTTTCCGCCTCGTCCTTGAAGACATAGATCTGGGTCAAGCCACCAGTCTTCTCATCTACCACACTTTCCACTAGCCTCCAGGTCTGTTTATCTTCTTTTCCTAGCTTTGGTCTGATCGGACCGAGTGACCATCTATAATCCTTTGTTTCGGCCCCTTCCCATGTACCCTCCATGAAATCCATCCTCGGTGCACCGTTAGGATACCTGGCGATGGAGTATCCATTGGTGAAGACAACCTCAGCCTTCGACACATCCAGCTCTTCTTGGGAATCCCAAGCTCCCACGTCGGTTCTGTTCTTAGAAACACTGCCAAAGTCTAAGAACTTCCATCTCTGCAGAAAGCAGCCTCCACAGATCAACGCAACCCGGGCCATGTCGAGAACTGGAGATGTGTACCAGCTCTTCCAATGGTGAAGCGTCAAGAACCGCCACCCGCTTTCGAAGAACCCATCCATTAGGCCGTGCATGTCTTGTTGTTGGAGGCCCTTCACTCTCTCTAGCCTCGCATGCGTATGGTCGTGGACGCACTCCATCAATTGCATGTCCCCTCCCCTCCCGCTCAGGCAGTCGCTCAAGTGCGGCTCAAGCTCCTCGGCAAGTGGCACAGAAATGAATATGCCGGCACCGCCAAAGGCAGCCATGCCGAAACGTGTCGCGGCGAAGGACTCGGACAGGTCGCCCAGGTACGCGGGCCTGGTGTGGTCGTGCTCGGCCAGGGCGGCGGACAGCGGCTCGATGGCGGGCAGGAAGGTATCGTCATCGAGGATGCCGAGCCAGTGCGTGTCGTTGTGCGCCAGGTCGACGCCTTCGTCCGCGTACTCGGACGCCGCCATGCGCCGGGCCCGCACGTGCGCGAGCATATCGAGGATTACCATCATGTGGCTCTGGGGCACAGAGTGTTCTGGGCTGTGCGGCCGCACGAGCACGAGCTGGATGCCCGCGCTAGCGAATTCGTCGACGAGTGCTGGCCATGTCGTGGTCTGTTCCATCTCAAGGTCGTTCTGTGTCTGGCCCGACTCTTCGTTTGGCCTGTCGGTTATGAGAGCTATGAGTGGGGACCCTGATTTTGACATCCAGTGCGCAAAATGGGGCTTGGCAATCTTGAGACGCTCTGCGGAGGTTGCGATGGCGAAAAGTAGATGATCATACTGGCCGACTCGTTCGGGGTATGGGTCCGGCACGGCAAGTTTGAGTGGCTCACATGAAATGTAGTCGTCGGCTATGCGATCACAAGAAAGGAGGTCGACGGAGACCGGCGAGCCGACGAGGAGTGGTTGTGATATGTTGGCGACGACATCACGATCCACGCCTCCGGCATTCGGGTCGGCTGGCGATGACTGGGGTGCTGATGTGGAAAACACGGGCTTGATACAGCGCCTGGTGAACTTGATCTTGCTGGTCAGGCCAAGCTTTTTGAGGTATTCCAGCTCCGAGATACACTGAGGCGCCTCAGAATAGTCCGGCGGCGGCGGTCTCTCGTGCTCGACCTCGGGTTCCTTTGCCTCCTGCTCGACCGGTATCTTGTTCGGCTCCTCTGGTGTGGAGGTAGTAAGTCGGACGCTATCCGGGACAGCGTCCAAGTAATGTGCAAAGCTGAATATGAAGACGAGCACAGCTGCTATGAGGACAAAGCGCCCGAACGGGCCTCTTGGAAGTCCCGCTGCCATTCTTGAGGGTCGGGATATATTCACGACCTTGCGCTCATGACGCCACTCAAGTGGCTAGCTGGTATGCGTGTTCGCGCACCGCTGCAACCGTGCTGCGACAAGCGCGTGTGCTTGGGCGAGCAGTCGTCTTCTGGACAGGAACAGATGACAATAGCGCAGTGTGACGTTTATCTGAGGCGCCTGTCTGTTTCTCTATCAGCTTTGTGCTGATTCTAGAGGTGACATGGTTGCCTGGAAAGATTGTTGTGGTCCAGCGCGGCTACACGGCAACGGTCTAGCCGCCTCGAAGGATTCACCTTAAGCCCATTTGAGGCTTGCCAAGATCAAGCTGCATGGAGTACCTGATTTCGCCGTCAACTTCAATAACAATTATTTCCGTGGTCCGCCGGGCCATCGGGCTGATCCGCAGACTGATATGAAAGATCGTGGCAGTAATTCCGCGTACATGTAGTAGCATTGAACTCTAATTTATATTTACTGCACTCAGGGCTTTAAAAAAAAACCTTAGCGTTCCAAGTTTGAGAGATGTCAGTCTCACACATTTATGATATCAAGGCTGACAAAAGAAATGTGGCCATTCGACCAATTGCACTAACTTCAGCAGAGCATTTGTGGAGTTTAGCAGCCGCAGCAATGTTGACTGATGGATCCAGTTTCCCTATATAGAATCATGGTCTCTGGAGTACCCACTGACCCCAGAACCGGCCCGAGAGAAACGTACTGTGCAAATGTCCACGGACCGCAGTGAATGATACTATCGAACCGGAGTGTTGGATAAGCATCAAGATTCTCGGCGTCCTTTGCCTGCCAACCGGCGAGTGCATTGCCAGCATCAAAAACTCGCCGAACACAGCATCAGTCCGCTCGGTAGACTCACTGGGTACTTTGGTCTATCAGCGCGAAGGAGACCAGAGACAGAAATTTCAATTGGCTGTGCTTGTCAACCTCCCCCTCTCTCCCCAAGCCTAACCTAAGGCTGAGACTGGGATTGAGGTTGAGCAGAATTTTGAACAAGCTGCTTATATGAGACCCAGTCATCGGCTCGAGGGAAGGGACAGTCTGGCACTGGGGTACCCAGGAATCCACAGAGAGGTGCCCACCCGTCCCTGACATCCCACTCTAGAAACCTTCGACCCTTCCCTAGATTCCTTACCCTATCGTTGTGTTTTCTGAAGTAGTCTCGACCGTTTGTCGGGAAGTCATTGTCCCAGCATAGAGTGTGATATTTGATAGCGAGAGGTGCCATGGGCGATGTGCTATCAGCCGGCATGTTGGAGTGATAATGAACAAGAGTGCACATCATGGACGTGTACCAGCCGTCTTCAGCTCTGGTCGAAAGGATGATGGCCGCCTCTGGGTAGGCCGCTATCAGTTGCTCAGGAAAGATCGCAGCGGGGAAATCGGCCAACGCCTACGTAGGTCCAGCTCGTTAGTATCGATTTAGTGGGTTTTCCCACCTAGGAGCCACATCTTCGGGACGCAGACCTCAAATCCGGTTAGAATCTTCTCGAAGTCGTCCCGCCCCCACGTGGACCCTTTGCCTTCAAGATTGTCTTCGAGAGCCTGTACCCACAAGTCCTGGTGCTTGTTCTTGCCCACCTCACGCATGTGGTAGACATTAGAAATGCCAAGCTGTGACAGAGCATCCGCGAGTGCTTGATTCCTCAGCTCATTAGTATTGTTCGTGATGCTGGGGTAGATGACGCACATTGGGTCCCCGTCCGGGGAAGACCAAGCACAAGTACCTTCATGCTTGTCACTATCATGTGATACTTCTACACCAGCTTCCCACTCGAGAAAGAGATAAAGAACGGAGTAAGTATAGGTAGCATGATAGAGACTGCTCTCATTCTCGAGCAATGTATATAAATCCCATACTCTCACCCGACGAAGGATCAAGTCGCCAACGCGACAAGCCGGGATATCGGAGAGAAGCGGGATGACCGACCACGCGCCTTCTCAAGTAAGGCATAGTCTTCCCGTCGACGCCAAGTTGTCTGATAAGCAGTTTGTTTTACACGTATTTCGTCATCTGAACTGTTGAAGAATACCAGAAGTCACTTTTTAGCGTACATGTTCGGTCCTTGACCGAACCTGACCCATTTAATGTCGAGAAATTCGCGTATTCGGTCTCGGATTACAAATAGCCCTAACCCTTCATCGTTGATTGCCAACATGCTGGAGGATAAGTCCTTTCCCTGACTCCAAATTAGGCATCTCCGCCGATTTTGTCCTAAGCTTTAATATCCGCGTGGGGTGAGGGGGAAAGTTGCACTAGCTACATCCCCGTGGCTCCCGAGGTCGGGCCGTATCCACTTATCACGATATTGACGTACATTCGGAGACCCCTCAGCTTCAAGCTAGCTCACAGCTGATATAATGTGCCCGCAGACCTACCAGCCGTGCCTGTGCGACAGAGTGTTCCGTGGTTTCCGTATCTCGAAAACACCCTGAAGCTCTGAGATTATTTCCACAGCAAGAATCAACTCCAGATACGCAAGATGGCTGACAAGGTATTCAATGTCTCTATAATCGGATATGGGTAAGGCCACCCCTCTCTTCGGGAGAGAAACAAGGAGATAACTGCTGTCTGGGCACTGACATGACGGCAGACTGTCCGCAAAAGTCTTCCATATTCCCTTCGTGGCGGCAACAAAACAGTTGAAACTGCACTCCATCGTCCAGCGCAAGCCCTCCGAAGGCAACTCCGCGCCTGAAGATCACCCAGAGGCCAAGCATTATACCTCGATCGACTCCGTACTCCAAGATCCCGAAATCGACATCGTCGTCCTATCTACCCCGCCCAATACCCACTTCGACCTTACAAAGAGAGTCATCGAGAGCGGCAAGCATGTCCTCGCCGAGAAGCCCTTCGTCCCGACCTCAGCCGAGGCAGAAGAGTTGGTGAAGCTGGCAAAAGAGAAGAACAAGTTGCTCTGCGTGTACCAAAACAGGAGATGGGATGCAGACTTCCTGACTGTCCAGCATCTTTTCAAGGAGGGCAAGCTGGGCCGGATATACGAGTTTGACACGCACTTCGACCGTTACAGGCCGGACGCTCCTAGGTCATGGAAGAGCACGCTGACCATGGCCGATGGCAACGGCGCCATCTACGACCTGGGCACACACGTGCTCGACCAGGTCTACGTGCTCTTCGGCAAGCCGACCACAGCCTACGGCAAGTTCATCAACCAGCGCGAGGGCAGGTTCGTGTCGGGCACCGGTGGCCTGGAGGACGAGCCGGACAGCATCGATGCCACGCTCAGCTACGCCGACAAAGGCCTGCTGGTGCACGTGCGCATCGGGGTGCTGAGCGCCGAGAGCAAGCAGCCGCGCTTCTGGATTCGTGGCTCCAAGGGCAGCTACCATAAGACGGGGCTGGACGCCCAGGAGCCGCAGCTCATAGGCGGCATGAAGATCACCGACGCGGGCTTCGGCGTCGACGGCGCCGCTTACAACGGTACCATCGAGGTGGTCCAGGAGGACGGCTCCATCCAGGACTTCACCTTCCCCAACATCGAGCCTGCAACATATCTGAAGTTCTACGAGCTTCTTGCCAAGGCCCTGGTGTCGGGGAAGCAGGAGGATCTGCCTGTCCCCGCGCAAGAGGCGGCAGAGGTCCTCAAGATTGTCGAGGCCATCAAGGAGAGCGCTCGCACTGCCAAGGAGGTCTCCGTGGCATGATCGCCGAGGAAAACATGGGAAGACGGGCCGTGAGTCAGTGATGGCTGATGCGTGTACGTACACGAGGTTCTGTGGTACTTTCACAGCTCCTGCAGATTGTCACTCTCCTTATTTCGGGTCTTTTATGAGGAAGCCTTGTTACCCCTGATACAAGAGCCGTAGACGCTCTATGCATATCGCGCAAGCCGGAAGGATTTTCCTTTAGCATAAGATATCCATGTGTCCAAATGATTTCACCATTCATCCACAATTCATGAGGGCCGTACAACGCGTTCAGTGCCAGTGATGTCTTCTGACCACTCACTCCTGTCCCACAATGAATCATCTACCAACCCGCTAAGGTCGACGATGCTTCCCTCTCTTCTTCGCCTACAGCGGTGTACGCCCTGTACTTGTGAGGTGGCGGCGCATCCACCGATATCGCAGCTTTTCATGGAAGCTTCGCTCGGCAGTTCAAGTCTGGCTGACCAAGATGCTGGAGCCAGATTGGACGGCCCTGCACGTCTGATAGTCTATCTGACAAAGTATCCACCCGGATCGGGCAATGGGGCGCTAATGACTTGAATACTTTCCCAAAGTCAGTCTGTGCTCTTCCTGGCAGTGGACAGGCCTGTAGTCAAAGGATTATACCGCTCAGCATCGCCGAGCGGACACGAGCAGCCTACGTTTATGGATTCATTTTGGTTCTATGAGGATCGCATACCTCGCAACTAGAATGCTGTTTGATCCGAAATACCTCGCTGTTGTCCTTCTGAAAGGTGGCAATATCATTGCCGTGGTTGGTTCATGCATACGTCAAGGAATTGGCCACGTTGTCTCACAAGTCAACTGGATTGTGGTCAAGTAAGCTGATCGAAAGTCATTTCACAGTGCCTTGTCAAATTCGTGAAGATAAATCTTAGAGGATGAATGATGTGTGGCATATGATTATGATTTACGTTTATTATGTACGTGAACCTAGCAAAAAGAAAGTGTGTGACTTGACAAAGTCGACGAGGGCTTCCAGGCTTTTAGCCATTTCAAATGAAAAAATGCCATACCCCAACTCCAAGGCCATCGAATATTTTACAGCGAAACCAAGGTCAATTCCACAGGCACGGGCGCAGTGCAGGTAGCATTGTTCCCAGCATCGTGAGTGCAGATCAGGGGGAAGGTACCCTCATACCGCGGGACCCCGCCATTGCACGTATTGGCGTAATTGTTGTAGTACACACTGCCAGTGTTGCCAGTGTCCTTGTTGGAATTACCGTAGAAGCCAATGTAGTCCGCCGCGCTGCCGCAGGCAAAATGGCCCTCGCCAATCTCATAGCGGCGGATGGACTGCCCGTTGGCTGCGGAGCAGGAAGCACCGTTGGCGAATCCGATAGAGATGGTGTCCGGTGGACCAAAGCCCAGTGGCTGGTAGGCAGCCGAAGGCAGGCCGGTGTAGCAGTACGGCGTGCAAGTGCATGATGGGTCACCGTCGGCACAGACGGTGTTGGAGGCGCTGTTCCAGCACACCCTCGCGTCCGACGGGTAGTTCGGGTTGGCGCAGTCCAGGTTGTGCGTTGAGTTGAACCAATTTAACGAGGTCATGGTGAACTTCGTGGGGACGTTGCATCCTGCTGGGACCGTCACGCCTGGTGCAGTCGAGGACGTCGCTGAAGGCGTGGTGGCGGGCGTCGTAGAGGGCTTGACAGTGCTGGTGCTCAGGCTCGTGCTGGATGCCGGCTTTGTTGTCGAAGACGTAGTTGGCTTCGACGTGGAAGAGCTAGTTGGCTTCGAAGTGGAAGAGCTGGTTTTTGACGAGCTTGTCGTTGTTGAAGTGGAAGCCGGTGCTGGGGAAGACGACACACATCCGCGGTCGTAGTATGTGTCAGAGCTGCCTGAGTCGGCGTCGAAGTTGCCACTCACGGCCACGTTGAAGAGCAAGCATTCATTTCCGCCGAAACCGAAGCTCTTGCACTTTGTGTCTGCAACGCAGCGAGCCGAACATTTTGCGTAGGTCGAGTATTTGCCGCTGCTGTCATAGTCGTAGTTGCCTTTGCCACGATCATACCCTTTTTGACCACATATATCGGCTCTCTTCTGGGGCACCAGGCCGGCATGGGCAAGTCCGGATAACAATGGAAGGATAATACACATGCTTTGAATATTGGAAAGCATCTTGCCTGATTTAAACGATTGTTTATAACGAGAGGTCTGGTTATCTAACTTTGGTTTGTAAAGAGAGGTACGGTCCGAAGGGACTCTTCAAGACAACGCTGGAATTATTACGTTGGAAAGCTGTTGTGTGAACATGACTTTCTTGGTGAGTCCGGGTCAAACGCCTCCTTATATATGATGCACAACATGTAGGCCACCAGGGGGTTTCTTTGTTGTCGAATAGGCTCTTCCACTAGGAATCTGCGTCTCCGGCGCTACTTCTCGTAGCATTGGCTCGGTTCTTCACGACAACCACGTTCCGAGCGGCTGGGAAAGCTAGCATCATGGATAGTCGAGAATACGGCGAGGAACACATTCTGAGCCCCTGCCGGACCATGCAGCTAGAAGGATCTGGACAACGTCTTCCGCAAATGGGGTTGCGCTAACCCAGGGGCCATGAGCTGAACGGTGCGCTCGAGCGCATCAAGCTTACTTGCAAGCTCGTATACTAGATCACTAGTCCCCACCCCATCGGATGCTTTGTCCGCAGCTAGAGCTTCGTGAAACCTCGAACCTCAGCTCTTGGAGAAACAGATTAAAGCTGAAAGCTCACACAGTCCCTGCGTAGGATGCGCTTTGCTTGCTGAACTCTAGGCCAGTTGATAGCGTGGCATATACCTATCCCACTCTCGACTATGTGGTCATAAGAAGATGATCATGGAGCGCTTTCGGAGTTTACGAACAAATGGGCACGAACACCGGATCCAGTTCACCTGATCACCTCTACTCAAGCATTATCTAATTTTCTGCAGATGGAATTCTAAGAAATACTCCACATCTCTTGCCCAGAATATAAGTTGATATGCACATGCCGGAATACCATCTTGGACGGCATACAGGCACGTAGCAAAGGCACCAAAGCGACCGAATACCTGCAAATGCATTTTCCTCATGGCTCGGGTTGCCTTGTACAGAGATGCTGCAGTCGAAACACAGCATACGAGCTCTTCAATTTTTGATGCTCAGCAAGCATTGAAGTCCTGCAAAAGCTACTCAGTGGGCTCTTTTCGAACAGGTTTTCTTCATTCTCCTTTCAATGGATTGTACCCATCCAAGAGTGATCGAAGAAAGGTCAGAAGCCCATTGAGAACTGTTTGCACACATCAGTTACCAATCGTGTCTCTGCGCACGTGAATGTTTTGAGACGTTCCATCTTCTAAGACTCACAGAGATTGGAGGCAGAGCTTGGTGCGGAGTTTGTGAACATATCTTCTCAGCACTCATATACTCTGAATTGAAGGTATCTCGAATATTTTTTTGGCAGACCGGGACTGGAGTTTCGTGTCACGTCAAATATAGGACTGATCTTGTAAGCAACAACCAAACCATACTTGGGAGCGTTACATGTACCAGTCTAACAGTGATAGATGCCATCGACAATCTTTTGCCCGCGATGCTGGTGCCTGGCCTGTGATAATATGCTCGACGGGGCCACAAATGGCTATGATCGGCCGTGTCAGTCTCTCGTACCTTGATAGACATGATCTGCCCACAAATACAGCGTGGACCCGTGCTCCTGCAGGTTATGTCGTCACCCTGATTGGAAATTTTACATCGATGGTGCCACTACCCTGCATGTTTGCTCCTGTTATTGGACAAGTCGAACCCCGAGCTGTGTAACCAGCGGGATGTTGGTCTTACCCACACCGGCGATCTCATGGCCCCTTTCTGGTTAGTACCGAAAGTCCCTGCATGAAGCTCACAAAACTGCCAGCCACCGTGTTCAAGATTATCCTATTCTTGACGACGACTGGCCGTTGTGACGTGGAGCGGCCTGCGTGCAGAACCGAGGCCACCTTGGAAGCATAGCGAGTGTAGAGATGGATGCGTCTAGGCGCCCCAACAGCTATGATCAGGGGCTCGCACCAGTGTCGGCAGAGGTTGCGCCACGAGCTACAGGAACAAGTCCACTGGAGAAGAGCCCATCCATGTTGAACAATGAGGCTGATGTGGCCGATGTGGCTGTTGATACTGTTGGCCGGCGCAGAAAGCCACTGTCATTTTACATGGCTTTTCTGTGTCTTGTGATCATGGTATTTCTATGCTCTATAGACTCGACCATCATGGCAGTCTCAATACCAGTAAGCTACCCCAACCTGCACCGCTGAGCCATACAGCTAACCAGAACAGATCATCACTCAAGAACTGGGCGGCACTACCTTCGAGGCCTTTTGGGCAAACCTCGCCTTCACACTTACAGTTGTCGTCAGCCTGCCAATATACGCTAGCGCGTCCGACGTCCTCGGCCGCAAGATTCCACTCTATACATGCTACGTCCTGTTCTTTGTGGGCTCCATCGTCTTCGCCACCGCCGATTCTATGGCAGTAGTCATCATCGGTCGTTTGCTCCAAGGCTTAGGTGGTGGCGGACTTGACGTGCTCAACGAGATACTGATCGTGGATATCACCACCCTCAAAGAACGACCATTGTACATGGGCTTGATGGCCATTCCAATGGCTTTAGGGACAATTGCTGGACCGATCATAGGTGCAGCTTTCAGCGAATACGTCAGCTGGCGTTGGCTCGGGTGGATGAACATTCCTTTGCTTGGCGTCGACGTTGCCCTCGCCGTCCTATTCTTACGCCTGAAGCCACTGGATGAACCTCTTTCCGACAGGTTCGCTCGACTAGACTGGATCGGGAGCCTCATGTTCGCCATTGGAGCTGCTGCTTTTGTCCTTCCGCTCAGTTGGGCGGGGAATCTCTATTCTTGGTCCTCATGGAATACAATTGTGCCCTTGGTCATCGGATTGATCGTCCTCGTTGTCTTTGCCTTTTACGAAGCCAAGCCGGAGGCGCCGCTGTTCCCACATCGCATCTTCAAGTCTCGAGCGTCGCTCCTGACCCTCCTCACCGGCACGATACATGGTCTGATAATTTACCCTGCAACGACATATCTCCCCCTCTTCTTCCAAGCTGTGAAGCTGCAGTCACCCCTTCAATCTGCGGTGTCTTTGCTGCCATCCTGCTGCGGAGTGGTGGGATTCGCCCTTTTTTCCGGTGTCGCCATAGAAATCAGCCGTCGGTATCTGTGGCAATTTTGGATTTCCTGGATCACAATCTCCATTGGAATAGGCCTTTTATCAATCCTTGACAGGAACTCGCCGGTGGCAGAGACAGCAGGATTTCAGATCATCTCTGGCGTCGGTCTCGGTGCCTTGTGGGCAGTGCCAGCACTCTCCATGCAGGCAAGCGCTGCGACTGTAGAGGACCAAGCGCTGGCCGTTGGCATACTTGTGGCTGTCCGCCTCTTCGGGGCTCTCATAGGCCTTGCAATCGCCTCTTCCGTGTTTGCCAGTATCTTTGAGAAGTCCATTGCTGCCCTCCAGCCTCTACCAGCTGCTGTTGCCCCACTTGGCCAGGCAAGTCAAGCAGTTGGGTTCATTCCTAGCTTGAGGGGCATCGATGTACCCTCAAATGTGCTGAGCCAGATACTCGAGGTCTATCGAGAATCTTTCCAAGTATTGTGGTACGTCATGGCTGGATTTGCCTGTGTTGGCTTCTTTTCGAGCTTGTTCATCCAGGAGAAATCGATAGAAAATGAGGAGACTGGCAAGCAGCATCTGCAGACTCGGGAAAAAGGTGTAAAGTAATTATTGATAATTGATTAACGTCCGATACCGACGAAACAGGCCAAGCCAACCGATGTTAATGTCGGGGGCTTCGCTGCCAAGATCGACGACAACACTCAGACAAGATCCGTCACAAATACCGCCAGTACCGACTGCGATGAATTCATGGATGCGACATCGGGCAACGGCACCGATACCACGAGCCACAGCTCACATTCAGAAGACCCCGGAAAGCGCTCGTACTTTGACGTTCCGAAGTTGTGCCAGAGGGCAATCAATGAGCCTATTGACTACGTCAGCGGCATGCCATCGAAGGGTGTGCGCTCTTCTCTGATTGATGCGATGAACCAATGGTGCCAGATTCCATCCGCTCAGCTTGCGGTAGTCAAGCGCGTCATCGACCTCCTCCACAATGCGTCGTTGATTCTCGACGACATCCAAGATGGCTCCCCATGCGACGTGGCAAGACAGCAACACATTTGATCATCCATTAACAGTGCCACCTTCTTGTACGTACGTGTCGTGCAAGAAGTGCAAGCTACCGGCAATGCGGCGTTGATGACAGTGCTTCTCGAGGAGTTGGATGATCTGCACGTCGGTCAAAGCTGGGATCTTTACTGGAAATACAACCTGAAGTGGCCAACGAAGGATGAGTATTTCAGCATGATCGACCTGAAGACCGGCGGACTTTTCAGGATGTTGGTGAGAATGATGCAGGCCCTCAGCCCTCGACCTAGTACAGAGTTCGTCTGCGATGCTCTGGTATCCATGGTTAGCCGCTTCTTCCAGATGACTATCTGAATCTCAACTCTCGCGAATACAGCAACCAGAAGGGTTGGTGTGAGGACTTGGACGAGGGTAAGTTCTCCTACCTCATTATCCACTGCCTTGAGAACAGCCCCAAATATGCCGACCGGATCATGGGTCTCTTCCGGCAGAGAACCGGATGCTCTGGTCCGATGCCCAGTGTTGCAAAGGTTTAGATTATCCAATATTTGCAAGAGGCCGGATGTTTCGAGGCTTGCTGGGAGTTGTTGAACAAGTTGAAGATCGAGATTGAAGATGAGATTAGGAGCCTGGAAGACGTCACGGGGGAGGACAATCCTCAGATGAACCTTTTATTGAAGCTTCTGAGTGTTGAGAACGAGAAGCCCAACAAAGCTGCAGTGGTCGTACATATAGGGCCATAGTCATTTTATCACATTTTACCACACTGTATTCATTCCCTATTGACCCGGAACTGCAAGTCAGTAAAAAGTAGAGCCGTCTTAGAGCCGTCGAAGATGACAAGTTTTAGTGTGAAACAAGGCTTGGTTGTACCTAATATCAAGCTACGATGGAAACAGTCATAAGTCGCATGCTATTGCAGTTGACTTATGCTGTGGCTGGCTGGAAGAAAACTGTTGAACAAAATTGATCTTAAATTATCTAACTCTTGGTACTAGGAGCGAAGTCCTCAAAGAAGGAAGCCCCGGCATCAACGAGCACTACCGAGCTGAGCCTTGATCCTTTGACCGGGTGAGATAGGAAGCTGCTGACCTGTTGATGTCTCCCACCCTTCTTGCTGCTTACCACCCACGGCATAAGTGCTTACTCCGGGTACGGTTCACACGAGGCATCTGACCTACATTAGAAATCCAGGAACCGTTCGTTCCGAACAAGTGGAGCATTCCGTCACAACGTCAAAACCCCGATGCCCTGCTTCCCTCCAACTGTTATTTAACTTCTCCTCGCAGCATACACAAGTCCACCAGACCTATTTCGAGATCCGGATCTGTTCACAAACACAAGAACGACTCGACCGCAGCTCTAAGAACCAAGAAGTATGGCGTTCCCACAACCTGAGAAGACAGAGGGGTTCACGCTTGTGGTAAACGCCACCATCCAACCCGACAAAGTGGATGAGTTTCTCGGTCATTTCTGGGAAGTCTTCAAACTTGTGACAGCCGAGCCAGAGTGCCTGAGCTTCGAGCTCTTCCGGTACGCGGACACCCCAAACAAGGTCAAATGGATTGAGAATTGGAGCAAGAGCAAGGAGTGGCTTATGACGGTAAGGAAATCTTCATCTTTTCTGCCACGATGCACTTAAATCCCCATTTCCATACCCCCGTCTTTCGCAGATTGTCAGTATATGACCAAAAGAAGATTGTGGGAATTTCATTGGATTAAAATACCGATCTCTGACCGTCGTTGCAGCACCAAATAACCAAGGATTACATGAAGTCATACATCGAGGCTACTGATAAGCTACTGATTGGCCAAAAGGAGTGGGAGATCTTGGAGCGGTTTGGTGGTGAATGGGCTCGGGCTCAGGAAGGTATCTACAAGAAGGCTTAAATGTGAACCTGATGAGATATTCATAAGATTCTGCCTAGGCAGAGAGAGTTGAAAATCCAAAAACCTGGTCGTCATGTAATTTGGGCTGTACTCAACGCTGTCTTGGAGGAGGAGGTATACAACACCCGAACAAGGGTACTCTGCTCACCTTCTATAAGAAATTCAGTTCCGAGAACCTTCAATATTCGTAGGAACCCAAGTGTGCTCCTTCATTGGAACAAAGTAGTGGTGGGAGCATATGCAAGGGATAATGTGGTACCGGGTGTACCGTTTCATTCTAGTTGTAGCCAATTGGATCTTTGTCTTAATTCATTTGATGCAGAATGGCAGTGCTGCATGTGTCAAAGACAGTGCCAGATGTCGTGACTGATAGGTAGAGACGGTCTCGTAACTGATTCTGTTGTTGTCTGTGAAGACAAGCGATGTGAAGTTTTATTTTCATGAGCGAATTCTCAGTGTTCATCTTATCCCAAGGAGAGGCCATGACAGAATGGAGCCACATGTTGCTCCCAGTCGTTTCGTCCGTGACACCCGTCGGGAAGCACGTCCAAATCCCTCGACTGCCAGACCTTTTCAATGACCGACCTCGTCTGCGAGATATTGGAAACAGAGCTCCCAGCCATCTTGTCAAGAGCGAATAAAACGAAGTTGCGTCCATGGCGTGGTACAGTCGATGTTTTTGTTTCCATTGTCCAGACCAGGTCTTCCAGTGGGTCCAGCTCAACAGCTGCGACGAAGATAGACCATGCGAGCCCGGCCGTGACGTCTCGCTCTAGCAGTACAAAGACAAGACGCAGAATCTGAGTGACCGCGGTAGTTACTCGCGGAGAGCGTGGTTGAGCACCGCGAATGGCGCAGTCGAGATACAAGACAGCCGAGAGCCTTTTCAGCTCGGCCGTTGTTTGTAAAATGTCATCCTCAGGATCAAGCACTCGCTGCTCAAGTCGGCCAAGTCTGTCCTCTAGTGAGAACGCCTGGGACAGAAAGTGGTCTGAAGTTGCTACAGCAGGGTCTCTTGACCGCTGCCGACTCAGTTCCGTGATCTCGCAGAGAATCGACACAAGCTCCGGCGAACATCCCAGCCATGCGTCGGTGTTGTTGCTAGTCCAGTGAGCCACCCAAAAGTCGCCGTCAAAGATTGGCTCTTCACCACAGGCTGTCCGGCCGATGATGTCTTGATAGGCAAAGAACCTCTCTGAGAAGCCAACCAGCTCGAGCGATGATTGGCTTTGCGGTGCTGCAGAGAGGAGCGCCTGCCTGCGCAGCCGGATGAGATCTCGGGCGCCTTTCAAATGCACGACCCACCGCTCGTCGCAATCGCGGATGATCCCCATGAGGCAGAGCATCATTGTGATGACAAGTGTCTCCGGGTCGAGGGCAATTTCGTTGGTATCCGTCATTCCCATCCTGCGGCTGAGATAACGAAGGACGTTGCCACAAAGTCTCAGCGCTGTTGGCTTGAAGGTGGCATCTTGTCTTGCACGGTGGCTGGCGGCGAGCGCAAGTATTGAGTTCAAGACTGCTGACGACTTGGATATTGAGAAAGGGAGAATCAGCGTTGCGAATGGAGACTTAGACAGTGGACTCGGTACGGTCAATGGGCACAATTTTTGAATGTAATATGTTAGAAGTGTTGACTGCAGCGCGTCTAAGGATAGGAAAGATGGCGGCGGGCTGATGTTCATTGTTGTCGATGCCTGTTCTTTGCGCAGTTGACCGAGACGCATGGAAATAAGTGCATTCGGTTCCAGAACATCATCGCTGTCGACAAACTCGACTCTGGCTTGATCATGATGGCCGGATTGCGAGTCCAAGGGCAGGTGCCAAGTCTTCGGATCTGTGGAGGCGACGGGAATCAAGGCGAGGTCTTCGTTGACCTGTCTGCCAAAGGTGGTATTCACAAAGCTGTAAGCGTGTATTGGCGGGAAATCGCACCACAGAGTGTCCTTGAGTCCCACACCGGTAAAATCCGGGGATTTTGCGGCGAGTGGGCCCTTTGACCATACTCCGCTGCGGCCGAAAGCCAGTCCTCTGGAGTTGTACTCGTCTTCCCACTTCAAAGTGGATAGGGGCTGGCACTTGAACCCCTTAGCTTGGCACTGCCGACAGACGGGCTTCGACTCGTCGCATTTGATCCTGCGGACTCGACATCGCTGGCAGCCGGTCCTCGTCCGCTTCCGGCCGCTCTTTGGTGAGGCTTGCTGAGGCATTGATGACAGATTGTGGTCTAGACCGATGGTGGCTGTGAGCCTGCGCCGACAAGACTGCACAAGACACTGCCGTGAAGAGTCGGCTGGGGAAACAACAAGCTGGGCCACCGACTCGTTCGTGGAGACGAGTCAAGGCCTATGAGTCCGGAGCCGAGTGGAGCAATTTCTCCGAGGAAGGGGAGCCCGGGTATCTTATCGATGGCGTGCAAGAGTGGAGTCATGAGAATGACTTCGTCCGAACCTCGTTCCGTCAATGTGTGCATCTTGTCAAGGTTTCTTTCTGTTATGATCAAATCTGTCAGTCTGATTTCTATTTCCACTTGCTAATATTCTCATGAGTGAATAACTTCAATCATCGATGCACTCGAGCTGTATCCACGAAAGGAACCATTGAGATGCTCCAAGGTGACGGGATCTCTCTAGAGACCTCATGCTGGGTACCTTGTAAACCTTGTTTTGACCATTAATGTCATGATTACAAAAGCCTCCAGGACGTTGCTGGAGGCATTTCTGACTCGCAAATGTGGTAAAACGGGGCAGTAGACTAAGGACAGTACTTAAGTGACTATTGCATTATGCCCGGTTTCATTTCTTTATTAAGTGTTGCAGAAGGATTGACTTGGACGCTGTTGCTTAGTTGAAAAGTTCACTCCTTGATGTTTATTTAGATCGCAAGCACAGGATGCTTGTTGAACGGACTGCTAAACATCTCCTTCACTGGCGACAAAACTCAGATGCAGCCGTCCCTGGCGGATGGTTGCGTGCCCATGAAGAACGAAGCCAGACTCTACGAAGAAATATTAATTTGTCTTGATCGTTCTTTCGAGAATCGAGTTTCATCAATGCTAGTCGCCGTCGGAAGAGGTTCAGTGTTGTTCCCCAGGGAAGAAGCTGTGGGCGGAAGAGGACGGGCCCGGAAATGATCGAGGACTATTGGCCAGGTCTCAAGTCAAGGTAAGCCAAAACTCAAAGTAGAATGTCTCTCCGCTTTATATCTTCTGGAAGTTGAAAGTCAGTCACTAGGAGCATGATGCAGCAGAGTGGCATCTGGGGTAAGTACGCAGAGAGTACCTCAGCGCTGTGAGAGGCGAAATGACTACTCATTTCTGTCAAAATTCGGGCTAGAGAGGAGAGAATCGAGCAAAGTTGATGGTTTGCGGCACAGTGATGGGGGCATCAATAGGAAGAGGATAGCGGATGGCAGCATCTAATGTGCTGGCCAGCTCACTCTCTGCTCTCAAGCAGCTGCGGGTGGGTAGGAGTGGTTGGACGCCCAGATCAGCTCTTACCAGTAGCCCAAAATCTGGATCGCTCAATCAAGTCGAGGAATGGGAGGGCAAGAAAGAACAAAAGATGAAAAAAAAGAAGTCCTGGCAGAGACGAGAATCGAACCCTGGTTGTCACCCTCCAGCTTTCCCACCACAGTCCCTCGCTGGACCACCCTGGACCCGAGAGCAACCCGGGGACCTGACCACTCCGCCCAGGTGGATTTGTTGGAATGGGATGAAAAAGATGATTCATAAGGGGGGAAACGTATGCCCCCCCCCAAATGCACCCCCCCCCCTCGGCCCCTGCCTCTCAAAGAGTGAGATGCAAGCTGCCTGCTTTTGCCCTCTGCTTGGTGGGTCTCTGGTGCGCGTACACAGCGACCATGGCTTCTCGAACTCTAAACCTCTAATCATCTTAAGCTGGTCTTTAGGGGGGTGAGGATTTCTAGTCTCAACGTTATTCTTGCCGCCCGTGACTCCCTCAGATCAGAGACTGCTTCCTGTCATACGAAGCCTGCATTTCCACACCACTTCCACGACCATTTGCATTGGCCATTTCCATCGAAATTTTCCTGCTGATTGCAGTGTGTGTGGAAGGCATGGAAAAGCTCAGCAAAATCTATAACAAGCATGTAAAACCTGCCTCGAGGATGCGAGAGTTCAATCGCTGTTACCTTCGGTCCTTGACCAGCAGAAGTGAAGATATCGTCAAAGTACACTGATCAATTGGCCCAACTGATGAGAAACTTATTTACAGGAATGTGCAGGCACTCACAAATCTTCAATATTGACGATTTAATTAACGTGAACGTACATCTGATGGACGACGATGATCGAGATCACGTCTGGGGTAATGGACTTGTAAGACTGTAGATAGATCTCCAGGGGTCAAGCCCGATCGGGCCTAGAATCGTTTGCTCGTGCGCTTCAGGTCTGGGATCGGTGCCACAAGCGGCCAATGTTGATCCGCTGCTTACTGCTTACTCTGCGGGGCCGGCTCGAACCTAAAGTCAACGACTGGTTGCTCTCATTGACTGCTCCACATCATACATAAAGAGGTGTGACGTTCTTCACATCTTTCACTCAGATGTACTCACGCAAAATCTAGCTCTCATCATCCAATTTCTCCCACCGTTCATTGACACAACAAGGCTCTAGGTCTGATTCAGCATGGACGAGAAGCAGCCCTTCCTGGCGCCGACAGCCGACCCTGAGCCGCCTCGAGCTCGAGCTCAACGGCCACGGCCACGACACGCCAGAGGCCTGCTGCTGTTGACCAGCTTCTTGGCCTGCTTTGCCGTGGTGCACTACTCTGCGAGATTCCTACTGTCTGGGCGCCACCACCAATGCTCACATCATCACCACCAGAGCCAGCGACACAGCTATGAGGGCGAGCACATCAGCTGGGAGACATGCGGCGAGATCAGCGGCCGGTCCGTCGAGTGTAGCACTATCACGGTGCCAATGGACCAATTCAACGCCACCAATTCGGGCGACAAGGTCTTCACCGTGCCATTGATCCGCATGCGCGGGAAGAATGCCACCCAGAACCTGCTGCTGAATCCCGGCGGGCCCGGCGGCTCTGGCGCCGAGTTCCTTTTCCGCCGCGGCGACCAGCTGCATACCATTGTCGGCGAGGGGTTCCACCTGCTGTCCTTTGACCCGCGCGGCATCAACGGCTCCACCCCCAAGGCCCTTTGCTTCCCCGATCGTGAAACCCGCCGTGACCTTGCCGCGCCGCCGGCGACGCGCCTCATCGAGGATAGCGGCCCGTCCTACGCCTACGCCCATAACTTTGTTCGGGGCTGTGCTGACACGATGGGCGAGCACGGCCTCTACATCAACACTCCACAGACCGCCGCCGACATGAACAGCATCCTGGACGCAGTCGGGCAGAAGGACATGGTCTACTGGGGTTTCAGCTACGGCACGCTGCTGGGCCAGACCTACGCCGCAATGTTCCCGGAGCGGTCGCACCGTGTCATCATCGACGGAGTTGTCAACCAGTTCGACTGGTACCAGGAGCTTGCCAGTTCCGAGGATCTGGTCGACACGACGAAGGTGCTCGAGGGCTTCTTCAGCGAGTGTATCAAGGCGGGCGAGGACTGCCCCCTGTCGACATTCGCCAAGTCGGCCGATGAGCTGCATGACAAGGTGCTGGGCTTCGCCGACAGCATCTACGAGGAGCCTCTGAGCGTGTACATCAACAACACCTCCTACGGACTGCTCGACTACCCCAAGATCCTCTTCGAGGGCATCTTCCCCGTCCTTTACAAGCCCGCCAACTGGTACCCCCTCGCAGACAAGCTCGCCAAGCTGTTCCAAGGCAACGCGACCGAGGCGTTTCTGGCCTACGGGCAGGGCGACCCGTTCGGGCTGGATGGCGACGCCAACACCTTCGTGACCCTCAACGACATGCGGTCCGGGCCGAAGTACTGGCCGCAGGACCGCCAGTCAGCGCTGGAGATCGTCGCGCCCGCCTTCAACGCAAGTCTATTCGGGCCGGCCATGTACAGCGGCGTCTACGCGCAGCAGCAGTGGCGCATCCCGCAGACGCACACCTACGTCCCGCGCCGCGGCGTCGAGACGGCCCACCCGCTGCTGATCCTCTCCACCACGTACGACCCCGTGTGCCCGCTCGTGTCGGCGCGGTCCGCCAACGACGCGTTTGCGCGCTCGCAGATCGTCGAGGTCAAGGGCTACGGCCACTGCTCTGTGGCGGTGACGTCGTCGTGCCTTGCCAAGCACGTCAGGGCGTTCTTGTACAATGGCACGCTGCCTGAGACGTACACGCAGTGCGAGGTCGATGGGCCTTACTTCGTCAAGCCTGACGAGAACGGCAAGGCTGTGGCTGCGCTGCGGGAGTTTGATGACCCTGAGGAGGCGAGGATCCATATGGCGCAGCTGCAGCTTGCGAGGGACCCTGACTGGCCGGTCTGGTTGCGGCGGTGATCATGAGACAGGACATGAATAAAGGACGTGCTCAAACACCGAGCTTTTTATGGCTTTGCACTTGTATGTGATTATGTCAGATGTCATAGTATGAAATCATGGGCAATGGCGAAATTGCCTCCCTAGTTGTATGATATGCTTTGGTGTGGCAAAGATAAATTGAATTCAGAGCGATTAGTGGTATCTTTTATGCTGCTAGAATCGACGCCATCTGATGCACACAATTACTCTATAAAAATCGCAAACCCGACTCGCTCTCTATTTACGTTTTCCAAACGATGAAACAAGATGATTAATGAAAAATGCAAAGCCAACCAAGACTCCAGGTATCATGTCATGTCATACCCATCAACATCATCCATACTCACAACTCCCCGTTCGCGCACAGTGCGCTCATGCCTGACGGTAGTTGTTCATGTTGTAGCTGCCATGTGCCTCACCAGGGTCGTACGAGGCCTTTGGCTGCTCAGACGAGTAGGGAGGGGCCTGTTGCTGGCTGTAGCTGGGGTATGCCGTGTTCTGGCTGTAGGGCTCCAAGCTGGTGGCGGCGGGCGCGTAGTTGGTCTTCAATGTGCCCTTGCGCGACTTGTGGAAGATGATGCTGGCGTAGATGAGAAGGCCGAGGAAAGAGGCGCTAGAAAGGGGAAACACATGTTAGTATATGTTCACAATTTGCTCGTGACAAGGAGAATGTACTCACAGGATGATTATTGGGATGATGATGTTCGCCGCTGAGCCAGCCGATCCAGCCAGGGTCAGGCCCATCAGGACAACCCAGACAACAGACTGGATCACGTTGGTGATGAGGAAGAAGCGCGGTGTGAGAGTCCTCCGCGAGCGCTTGATAATGCATAGAATATCGAGAATTAGGCACAACAAGACGATGACCAGAACCACGACCATGACGGCGACGATGGCCTTGACGCTCGACCTGCTAATGCCCTCCTCATCAAGGGCGTCGTCGATCTCATCGCTGAATGCGCCGACCGCAGCGAGCGCTGTGATATAGACGGCGGCGTAGATCAGCATGATTATGATGCGGATGACCCAGAAAGGGATCAGTACGCGCTTGAGGAACGGCGAATCGCCGACGACGTGTTGTGAGGCCATGCTGGGTGGTGATGTTGTGTGACTCGATAGTTCCGTCGAGATGTTCGCGTTGGATTGGTCGTATAGAAGTTGTAGTGACTTTTAACAACGCATGAACAGTCAATGCTTTATAGTTGTTCTGTACTTGAAGAACGTGAATGACTCCTCTACAAAGAAAAAAAAATCAGGCGGCTGAACCAAAGTTATTTCAACTTTGTTGATTGCTCGTCATAGGCGCCAGCAATTCACGAGATCCCTGCAGGGCGCACGCGAAGGATGCTGTCCCTGGTCGATAGATACCACAATACAGCCTAACTCCGCCTTTGATCCGCTCCAAGTGCTGCATTGCCTCCTCTGGCTCTCAGCCGTAGCCACTAATTGACACGAGCCAAGAACTCTTTTTTAGGCAGTGACATATCCCCGCCCACGAATGCCAGAATGCCTAGGCCAGCTAGGGCCATTGCAGGGGATCTTCACACGAGTGGACCGGAGAACTGCGATCCTTTGTTCCTTTCTAGGCTCAGCCTCTATCGCTACAACAACGCCTGGGGAAATCTTACCACTGCCACGGTCCACCACAAGCACTGCACAGGAGCCAAGCCAAGAGGCGGCTCGCACATGACTAACCTTTTGAACGGCCATTAGTCTGCACCTTAACGTACCACACGGGAGAGAACGAGCCTCGATGCTTCTTGACTGACGTCTGGTTGCCTGCACCGTTTCATGGCCTGGCTTGAGGTCGGCTGACAGGCGCACGGGCACAAGGTGCCAAACGGCTATGCACCTGGGCAGAGGCGATGATTCAATTGATCCTGAAGGATGCAGTAGACCAAGCATGAGGGGTTTAATCATGCAGCTCGACTTCAGGGACTTTTCGCCCCATGCTTAAGCAGACTATTCGCGAGTGGTACTTCTGAGACCTATCAATTGTCAATTTACGACAAAAATTGCAGAAAACTGACTATATCGCTCATTATGGGTAACATCGCGACACATAGGCAACGAGGATGAAAAATTCGTATGGCCATTGTCAAAAAAAAAACAGTATCAATACGAACCCGAGACTCGTTTTGAGCCAAGGTGGTGAGAAATATGGGTTGCATGCATATGAGTGCTTACTCGGCAACACCGAGCACTGGATCCCAAGAGAGTGTTTCCTAATACTCCACGGCGAGCTGCTATTGGTTCTTGAATGGTTCCCAAATATCAAATTCTACCTTTATAGTCCAATTGCTTCTGTCTTCAGGATACATGTCAGGAAAGGGCGTCCTGCGTGTTCCCAGGATTGAAAATTGTCGTAGACCGGCATCCAGCTCTTCACGGGACCAAAGTCGTAAAAGAGGTCCCCGTATGCATCGACTAACTGGGATAATATCGGAGAATAATAAAGGGCGCTTTATTCGGTACAAGACACGGGGGTAGGTGAGCAGCGCATTTGTAACAGCTCTATTCCTGAGTCTACATATGGAAGGAGAATGACCTCCTTCCACTTGAGAATGGTCTGTCTATGCCACGGCATAATATCTAAACCTCGCCAGAATCGCCCTAGAAGCTGGCTGTCTGGACGCACAGTCAGGCACGGAATCATTCATCCCAAACAACAGCACTCAACCCATCCTCATTATTCACCGTCCCCGGCGTCCCGACCTGAAGCTGCGCAACCACGTCGCCCAGCCTTCCCGTGGACGCATTTCGTGCAACAACCACGACAGTCGATGAGGTCTGGCCCCCAAACGCCACCGCATCCCCGGCCTTGTTGATGGCAAACGTCCTCGGGAAGTACGAATGCGTACTTGTCGCCTCCACAAAGGTGATCTTCCCCGTCGCGGTGTCAATCGCAAACGTGGCCGCCGAGTCCTGCTGGCTGCCAAAGGACTGGTCATTGCGGTTGGTGGCGTAGACAAAGTTGCCCGAGATGTGCACCTCGGCCGACTTGGATCCGACGGGTGCCGTCTTGCCCGCCGGGTACGTCGATACTGACTGCATCTTGCTGAGGCTCAGACAGCTCCCCGCTGCGGTGGGCGTGGCCACCGTCCACGATGTGACGGACCCCGCGAGCTCGTTGACGATGTAGAGAGAGGTCGTGCCCGAGGGTGAGGTCCAGAATACGCCGTGGCGGGGCCCGTCGCCTGGCCCGGTGGCTGCAGCGGGACAGTTGGTGAGCTTTCCGCTTGAAGCGTCGATGCTGAAGATGCGGATCAGGTCCGCTCCTAGATCTGCGCTCAGGAGGAACCTGCCGGTGGGGTCGACGAAGACCGAGTGTGGGTGAGGCTTGTCCTGACGGGAGGGTACTGGTCCGGGGGCGGACATATTGAAGGCGAACTTTTGTATCTGCTGTGAACTCGCAGACAGGGGCAGCTTGTAGGTTGTTATGGTCGAGGGGTCACTATCACGACACTTAATATAATCCTTTGAAGAAAGATTCGTGTTAGGCTCACTATTCAGCCACAGCAAAGAACCCTCTCCCGTCACTGCCTCCATATAGAGCGCTGTGAACTCCACCGCCACTTGTTGGTGCAGTGCTAACCAATTGCACGCTGTTGTCGTTGTTGACTTTGAGCGTGGTGAGCACAGGCGCACCGTATGTAGCCTCGTCCGTGACATATAAACTGCCAGTCGCAGAGTCCAACGTCAACCAGCTAGGCGTGCGGCCGCCCGCTCTTAATGTGGATGTGATGGCCAGCTGGCCGTTCCCGTTGTCTGTCGTGAGCGAGAGCGAATAGATACTGCCACTGAAATGCGATACAAGCAGGTTCGCACCGAATACTGTCCCTGGCAGCAAGTATAGAGAAGCCAGCCATCCTCTCAAAGACCACGCCATCGTAAGTCGTGCCCGAGTGAGTCGCTAAATGTGTCCTACCGACGGTAAAGAAGAGCGAGCTTCAAGATCACATTTTCCTAGCTCTTGGCAGGATTTTAAGTTCAACGTACTCTGCAAGAAATGCATAGCACAACAAGTATCCACCAGGGGCCATCGAATTGGCTCCATAAGGCGTTGTCGCCTGTTACATCGGAGGCTGGATGAATGTCCGAATTGGGCAATATAGCGGATATCCTATGTCCGTGTTAAGGTGCTCAGGGGTTCCAACCTGTCCTACTGTACCCGCGTTCCGGCCCGGGTGTACGGTAAGGTAAGGCTAAATGCAGATCTTGGATCTGTGGTGCCGCCAGATTGATTGCAACAGAGGACTTGCTTTTGCGTCGCGTGCCAGTCCCGTGATGTTGCAGAATGATTGAGCACGGCCTTAACCATCCGACGACATCAATGTAACTGCTACAGACAAACCAATGTAATTGCTACAGACGTTCCAGAACTCACTTTTCACAGCGATTCGATTCATTTCTGAATGGTTCAGAAAGATAAGATTATTTTTCATTTACTGTGAGGATATCGTAAAATCATTACAACAGTCGGGCGGCTATCGCTTCGGCCTTGAGAAGTTCTTAGACCTCCCTTCTCCGGCGCTATTCCGTCTCTTGTCCCTATCCATGGTGAACATGTCCCTCGAAAGCCGCAGCTCGCGGCCCTGAATCGGTAATATCGGCCCCGAATCATCGCTATGCTCCGTTCCCAGGACGTGGATATCAGGAACCTGGAGGGACTCATCCGTATTTGTCCTCGTCAGCCCGCCGCCCCCGGTGCTGTCTTTCTCCTCAATCGACGTCAGCTCCCGGACATTCGTTGCTGCGCCGTCCGCAGACGCGCCTTTGGTAGGTGTGTTGAATCTCGATATTGGTGGAGTGTCTGGTGTCTTGGGCAGCGGCTTCATGTACGAGATCTGCACTGATCGCGAGCTCTCGGACCTCTTCGTCAGGTCGTCCATCGAGATCATGCTCGGTTCGGAGAACTCGTCATCGTGTGCCGGGTTGGCGCGCAACCGGCTCGTTGATGTGACAGTCAAGGAGCGCTTGACAGTGATGCCTCCCTCGCGCAGTGAGAGTGCATCTGGTTCGGACGACTTTCTCTTGCGACGGCCAAGACAGAATCGCTGCGATTCGCGCCAGCTCTTTGGTATGATCAGGTTGGCGAGCTTCTTCCTGGAAGACGCGGTGGTGCCAAAGACAACAAAGATGAAGATGCCTGGTGTCGTGCCAGGCATGAAAAGGACCAACGTCTGTATCGCACGCCCTGCGCTGAGATCCGGTGCGGTAGCTTTTGAGTCCTTAATGTTGTTTTGTAATGCTGTTACTTGGAATAGAGTATTGGTACATTCGAAGATACTGTCAGAGTGACCATGTTAGCATGATGATATGAAATGAAGCCGAGAGGGGTGCTGAAAGGTGTGTACGAACGCCAGGGACACGAAAGCGATAGTGAAGCGAACCATGAGCCAACGATCGTAAAGGCCTCGCCTTCCCGAGAGGTTACGCTGGGAGCTATCCTGAGAGCCCGTGACTACTGTGCCTCCTGAGTTCGATCCCGAGTTCCAATTCGGCGGGCTCCATTGTGTAAACTTCTGTCGCGTTCTCACGTATCTGATCAGGACTGCTATCATGAGTCCACTACCAATGGCAAGACTGATCATCACTATACTCGTCGAGTCAGCTGAAAAGGTTTCCTGAAGATACAAAGATGGCGAGATGGACTGACGAGGTAAGTCGGCAATGAGGATAAAGGCTACGAAAGACTCCTTGAGGGACGGGATCCGTAGCATCAAAATGGTCATCAGTGGCAGCAGCCACGAGACCAATTTTCCTGCCGTATGAAGTTTGCGGAACATGACTCTGATCGTGCGTCTCTCCCCAACCTGATATGTCAGCTGGCACAATTCGGCTGCCCAGAACATGACGAGCATAGCCTGCACGCTGTATGAGTAGTACTCTGAAACCTTGCGTCAGCACGGGGCGCCTTCCAGGTAGCGGCAAGAGAACTCATACGAAGATAGTACAGGACCAAGTCAACCCCAAAGGAACCATTGGCGATGGCGAGTTCCGGATCATCGGCCGGTAATCTCAACTTGCGTTCAAAACCCTCCGTCACTATGTCGACATACCAAGTAATGTCGCGGATCTGCTGTACTATAGAAAAAGTCGTGCTCGAAATCGATGATACGGCGAGTAGGGAGAGATCTAGTGTAGAAGCAGTCTCAGCATCGAGTCCTATGCGTGTGGCGCTGTCAAGACCAGAAATGGAAGCGGGCTGCCTTACAGGACCATCCTTCGTGGTGCGACCATGTCAGCCACAGTAGCAAGCTGCTGCATATCCAGCTAACCGACGCCCATATCAGCGAGACCGCTGCCGCACCTTCTGACCCAGATGGAAGTTGGTTGATGCCAGGCATCGCGAGCGCGGTGAGCCCTCAGCCCTGGCAAACAGGTCGGTGATGGTCAAGCATGAGAGAGCCAAGGGGTACCGGGGGACTACGGGATGATATTTACTTGGAAAGGAAAGAGGCCTACAGCAAGGAAATACTTTCACTGGGATTAAGCTTTTCGGCCTCGTGGCGAGTCTCCCCTGCGCCTCCCCAGCGCCCTGAAAACAACCCGGGCTAGAAACCGGCGACATACTCATGGGTAGGCATGATCCCTCTCCCGGGTGTCCCGCAGAAAAAGGCCCCTCTCCTGGTCGGTTTGTCATTTTGAGGAACCACCCAATAGCGTAATAGCGTGATGAAACCGTAAGGATTGCTGAGGAAAATTTCTATGCGTGGCAGGCATCTGAAGCGAATCTGTGTCGAACGCGCATGCTAGAGTTGCATGGCTGATCGGTCGGTGGGGCAGACGCTTGCGCAAGAAGGGAAGTGAATCCCCAGGGTCATGCCTCGATTCAAGAGACTGGACTGCCAATCCGGGCAGGTAAGAGCTGTTGGTCCTCGAGAGTTGCATCGGCCAGTGTTACCCAAAAGGACTCCGTGCCTTGCAAGTGCTCTTGCTTGCAGCCCGACCCACACAATCCCATAACTCGCCGAGTTGTCCATTCCCTGAATAGATGAATCGGCCGAAGGACCGGGACGAGAACTTGCTGTGGAGCTTCTGTGCTTGAGACCACAGTTTGTTGTCCTCGATTCGGAGTCCATCGGAACTTGATCCGACCCGGGATTTGTGGGCTGAGACGCATAAGACAAGTGCTCAGCTAATCGGCTCTAATGCTCAGCTGGAGGGTTCTTTGCTGGGATCCAAGCTTGGGGTGTAGTTCGGTAAACCGGTCTGTTGGCGCTCTCGCGCTACTGCGTAATGTGTATGTGGAAAGTAAAATGTCAGGGACACGCCGGTGACAGAGTCTGTGTCTCAACTTGACGAGACACGACAGCTGTGTGACAAAAGCAATGTGAGCTGTCAGGATTGTCACACCCACCTTCAGAAACACGCATTGTGTTGTATTTGCACATGGAATTTTGCGATTCACATGACTTTTTCCGCGGCTTTTACCACCTGGGCACTTTATGAGTGCCGGCCGCCTGCAAGCGAGGGTTACAGAACTCACATGCAGAACTCTCCAACGTGTTCGCGTGCATGCATGGCGAGTGTATTGCCTCATGAGGGCGCCTTGGCCGGGTTTGACTGGACCAGATCAGGAAAAGGCACTATGCTATCTTGCCACACCTCAACAAAGTCCAGCCACTGCAGGGGACAAAAAGCTGAAGGATGCCGCGTCAGGGGGATTCATTCCTCCGTGCTGTCTTGACGTAGCCGAGGGCAAGATGGACTTGCTTGCCATTCAGCCGGGATCCGACCTGCCCTGCAGGGAACGAGGGTGGGATGGGACGGCCCGTGGTTGGACGAGACGATCTGCAAGGTACATAGGCATCCTTGGGAGCGGAGTCTCGGTCGCTACAATTCGATTGTAGCCGGTTGGTGGAGAACGCCGGCCGATAGCCCCGGGCTGGACCCGCAGGGAAGATGGCCCCAAGAGGCAGAAGCTACGAGCCTACTGCGGTCATGGTGGGGACAGGGGATATAACAGTCAAGTTATTGCAGAATATCGGATGATTTCCAGACACGTTCTGTGGCTTGCTCCAGTGATGAGGTTGGCGAGAAGCCGTTGCTCGGAATCGGAGCGGATCTGGTAGATGGAGTTCAGATGGACGGATGGGCTGGAGCCTGCTTTGTGTGGGACTGCTGTGGATCACTTGGTGGTATTTGCCAAAGTTTTGAATAGATTCCCTAGCGATCGATCTCCCGCGATCTGAGTAGTATTGGCGGGCTGCATGTCAAGTTAAAAGCAGTCGGAACTCCGAGTCTGACCGACCACGCAGTCCTGTCAACTATTCCTGTACTTTCTTGCCCTGGCAGCACACCGAATTTCTTGACTCATTTTAACCTCGGATGAGACGTCTCGATGATCTTCATCCCAGTAGAGCTGGTAAGGTGTCATCTGGTATACCAACGATAGAACAATGCTAGAAACCCGCGACATAACATTCTTTGGGGTACCTGGAAAAATTGTCGTATAGGAAAAATCCCGGGTGCATCATGGCCAGGTTTACCCATGATTACCCATGATGGTTTATTCGGTAGTTTGGTTGCCTACTCCGAAGTTGGATGGTGAAACGAACCGACTGCCTGGAATGTCATCTAACTTTCTGCTACGGGCTTGACTTTCCAGCGCTATAATTTGGGCAGCAATATCGTCCTGCGAAAACTCACGATGTCTTCATGGACCTTGACGAAGCTCGAGATTTGAGACATTACGAGTCACTCAAAGTTCAAGCCAACGAACGTTGAAGAAAACGGCTGCCCTGCTCCGACTCTGGGGCGACCACAAGTGTACTGTCCAGTTCTTCTGAAGTTGAAAGTACCAGGCGTCCGGCATTCTTGTCTCAATCATTGCGACCACAAACAACTGAATAAGCCTGAACAGGAAATGGATTCGTGATTGGCGTCATTCGCTCACAGGCTGATAGGTGCAATGCATCTTCGTTGATTGAGATTGAATGCAGACATAGATTTTGGCCTTATTCAGAGCTGCACGACTATTCAGAAATCCACACATGCCGGAAAATTGAACTGATTGCCGAAGGTGATATGCTTGGGGTACTGGATAGCATTGAGGATGTGCTGCACGTGCGTCTCGGCGTCAGGCACTTGCTGGGACAGACTTGTACAAGGCGAGAGAGACTTCATGCATGAAAAAGAATCACCTGACAGCTATCATTTGATGCATGCAATTCCTATACCTACTGTGTAGGCAGCCTAAAGGACATGATATTTGAAATCGGCTCCCTTCCTTTCGCTCGGCATTCAGGCTGATTGCGGCTTTGTGCAGGAGTAGTGCGGTTGGGGAATGCCTATCTATACAGTCACGGACTGTCTCCCAATCCGAGCAACCGAAGGAATAGTGGACTGAGTGACTCGAGGATGGGCAGTTGCTGTGAGGTTCTTTTGGAATAGGCAAACTATATATGATATATATTTAGATGGGTGAGGCACATGAATAACCTCTAATCAGTGTGGTGGTCAAATCTTTTCATGGGTCGCTCCCGCCTAGTAGGCGTACTGTATTGCGAGCGACATGAGGAGGCTCCTACCAGCAATCTACCCAGGAAGTGCCGGCCTCAAATTCTCCTAGACGAGCAAACCCCGCTATACAAAGACACCTGTGAACATGGGATCTACGAACTGTGTCTGCGGGAATCTCCGCGACGCATACTACTTGGGAACTAGGCCCACTGCTGCTTGCATACTTAGCAGGTTGCGCCCGTTTGCTATTCGCCGATATGACGCCGGGTCATACCTATTCGTGACGATGCGACATGGTGAAGGTCACGAGAGCCACAGAGGGAGTTGGCATGGCTCTTTCCGTGACCTAGAGTCCCAAACCGAGATACGGCTTGCGCAGACACCAGGGCTTGGAGAACAATACCCAATACTTGAGCTGGCTGATTGGAAGGAGAATTCACATTATTGCATAGGTGTCTCCGCGCTCCAGCTCGTCGTGCGCTGGAAACTGGACGCAGGCCATCGTTGAATCTTTCTGTCCTCTGGCGTACGCATTCTCCGCTGCCGCTGCGGTCTCTAGCGAGATACCATAAATTGTGAAGCGCTGGTCAGCCGGTCTTGTATCAGGCAGTCTCGGAGCTCTGCCGACTGAGTCGTACTTTGAATCAACTAAGGCGGAGAAAATATCGGCTCAGACGCAACGCATTGCGAAGTGGGCAAGCTTCGCTTCGTGACAGTGCCTAATCAAGAAGAAGTCCAGACCTGCCCCCTCCCCCGGTGTGACCTGCCTTCTTGAGCACAACGCGTAAGCCTTGGATCTTGAAGACAAGGACAGCTGAAGATTGCTGTTCGTTAGATGCAACATGACGAGTAGACCCCACATTGCTTATTTCCGCAAGTCGACAATACAACGCGATTGAGCATCCCTACCGAAGTATCACATTCTATTGTTATCGCTTACTTCAACGATTGTGTGACACATATCCTGGGTTAGCAAGTGGCACGGTGTAAACCTCAAGTCTCAGAGCAATCTGTCAAAACGTGTACCATGACCCTATTACAAGTACGACAGCGTCCTCTAGATTACCAAAGCACGTATTTGGCGAACCGAGGCCCGTAGTATGAACAACGCTGGACAAGCCCCCGCCGAGTATCAGTATGAGATACGTAGTATCTCCCCATGACGCTTACTACCAAGACCAACATTGCTTGTAGAGCCGTGAGTCTGTCCACGACCATGTCTAATGTGCTCCTCCACCATTTCCGTCACGAAGTTCACAAGACCTTTTGGAAGCCCTCTTCGTCCGACATATCGATGTCACCTTCGGCCACCTCGCCAGTCGAATGGTTGATAAAGAAAACCTGTTCACGAAGTCAATGACCAGCACTTTTCCAGTACACCATAGCAGTAATACGTTACAGACATACCTTTGCGGGGAAGCGGGCCGAGCTGGGCGGCATCCGTATTGTCAGACCACGCGACTGCAGCATTACAGAGATTCTAATTCTCTGCAAGATTTTCAGTTCCCTAGGCCGGTCAAGGTTCGATCCAGACAGCTTCACTCCGGAGCGCTTTTGGGCCTGCTCGATAATGCTATCGGCAGACCAGGTGGCCTGATCGTATTCTTGATGGGACAGGTAGGTGAATGAGGGCTCCAAGATGAGGGTCTCGAGCTTTGTGAAATGACCCAGAAACTGCCTGTAACCGAGTCCCGGGCTCTGCTGAAAACCCTTGCACTGTATCTCTTGGATCAACGGTCGAGCGAAGCGCGGAATCGTATCAAGAACCTGAGAGAGGTCATGAGCTTCGAAACTTGAGTTGAGAGCGCTTTCAATGGTAGTTGAGGACCAGTAGGAGTGTCTGGCCTCATTGTAGATCTCGCGACAGGTAAGGAGGAGTTGGTAATGATGTGTGGGTCGCAGTGTTAAGGATTTGTTGGTCGGTGGGCTTGGATGGATTGCGATGATCCTCGCTCGAGATCCATCAAAAGCCTTCTCAAAGATCTGGAGCCGTACCTCGGCTGGGAATCCCATGAAGATGTTGAGAATAGGACGATTGAGTCCCGCCATGATCTTTATCAGCCTCTGTTCTGATGAAGGATACACCTTGATGGTGGGGAAGCTGTGCACGAGATAATTTGTGGACAAATGTGTGGAGGTAATGAGGCTTGATGATGGAAAATGGTTCTTGTGAGACTTTAGGGACAGGTTGGTTGTGATGGTAAGAGTTGATGAAGCAAATTTGGTAGCTTTGATGGTATTCTATATGGTGTTCTGTTCCATTCAATGTAGAAAGACAGACATTCACGTTCCGACGACCCACTCCGTGATGAATTCCTCAGCCATTTATGAATCATATATACGTTGAATGATGACTGGATATTCATTTGCTATCCCACAACCCCACTGGTGTTCTTCGGAAAGCACAATATTCACTTGTAGAAGAAACTTGCTATGAGTGCAGCATGGATTGCCGTTTGTCTATATAAGGTGAGTTGTTATTGTCCATCAGGCTGTTTCGGTACATACCGGCTGGCTTGTCAGTTTTCATGGGCACATTCACTTGGAACTGTGAATGAGTGTGTCTCTCAGGCACCGGCACTGCCTGTGATCCGGGCTTCAGGTCCGATAATGTCGCACTATCTTCAGAGTCGATGACTATAGTCAGATTTGGTCCAAATGAATTGAAGACTGTGACTTTGCCTTCGGATTACAGCCTAGCTTGCAAGTCCTGGTACAACTAGAACAACCCTTCGTGACTCGTCTACAGGTGAATAGCTCGTCTCTACTCCGGCTTTATTAATCTGAGTTTTAGAGGGGACGCATGTATAGAATCCCTTGAGGGTAGCATTTAAGCTCCCTTGAGCAAATCCACTGGAGTCGATTTGCACGGAGTATTTGCCGGTCTAAGGAAAAGTCGATGCGAAAGGATCGGACTTAGATGTTTGATCTCAGAAGATTTGACGATTTAGGTGGTCAGTCTCTCTAACTCTACCTCTCAAGTAGCTCAAACTGTTAGAGCAGCTTCAACACATCAATGCTGACCGCCATATCGCCCCGGTACTGTCTTGCAGAGCTCTTGGTACTGTCCCAAGACCAACCACCCCATGAAGCCAGACGAGTTGCCTTCTTCATACCATCAAAAGTCCAATCACTCATTATCTTCTGAATCTCGATCTTCGCCACAGTTGCCCTCTCTCCAATCTACCCAACCGTCGCCATTAGCCGGCCCCAGGCCTTTGGGAGCTGACTGGGGTACCTTCCACCACCGAGAACGTGTGCCATAGATAACAGTAAAAAGCGCTAGTCAGTTATCTGTCTTACTGCCGCCGGACTCAGCAGAATTGGTCACCGTCCAGGACCCCTTCAGATGCTCGTCAGGTCTGGATGGAAGGTGAGGGTACGGCACGGTGTCACACATGCACGGCATGGTTTCATGAAAGTAGCAGTCACCGTAATCGATGAAGAGCTGCTCGCGGGCGGTGATGGTGCGGTTGGCTACGAAGACGATGGATTGCGGCGACCGTACGTGAACCGCTCGACGTCCAAGTTCGGATGGCAGTGGTGGTTGACAAAGCGAGTGAGCTATGTTAAATTTGTTAGAATCAATCTTTTTTTTCTTTATTTAAATCATCTTTTTTCTTTTTGAATCTCAAAATCGGCGCTCTTCGTCTTCTACAAATGCCACAGATGTCCAGAAAGGAGGTGGGATACGTACGTCTCCATAGCATCGCGCATCAACCTTGGCCGAAGTCTTAAGACCAAACATATAAAGACTCTCCTCCAAAGACGTCCGGGTCTCATCGAGCGGGACCAGCTTGCCCATGTACTCGCCCACAACGGTGTTCTCTCTGATCGCGGCCAGAGTGAAGACGCCATATCCCATGGCGGCGTTGGTCGCCTTCTCAATGCGCTGGGCATGAGAGCTCGGCTGAATCGCTTCACGGGGCGGAAGGTGAGAGGTATCCTGAACGACAAACAGGTAATACGAGAGTGCTGAGATGTTTTTGTTGTGCAAAATGGAGCCTGACCGGACATTGCTTGGCTGATATAGGCCCTTGGTAGGTATGTTGCTCATCGAACTCATTTGTTGGCTTTGAGCGCATGCGTGAGAGCACCCGAATTGACAAGAGACAATGTCATTTGATGATTCTGTGTGCTCATCCAACGATGGTAGACTGCACTTTCATCTACCACAAATCTGATACCGATGTATGTAACCTTTATGGCCTTCTGAATGAATGTCTTGTTCTTTTCGCCTCCAAAGACGTAGAGAATATGTGAAGCATGTGTCACAAACAGACTCACTTGTACATGAGAGGCTGGTAAGCTTTCGCAAAATGAAGAATTTCAGTTGGCTCTGCCATGGCTGGCTCCAAAATCAAGAGATTCATGATTTAGAAACTGAGAGAAGTGGATTCTGATATCTAAATAGCCATATGTCACAATTAGCTCAAGGTTGTCGGCAAGTACAAGCCTTTCCTGACGATATGCAACAAAAAGAATCAACCATCCTAGCAATGCGAACACAATGGAAGCCCAAAGAACCCCCCAAACGCCTCAAGAACTACCTTTCCCAAAGAAGTCGGCCTCCCTAGAACCTCCTCCGCCTCCTCCTCCGGTCCGACCCGCCCCCAAAAGCCATGTTCATCATCTCCATGATGATAAGCTGCACGACGTACTCCTTGATCAGGGCCCAGGCCTGCTCCTTGCGGTACCAGGGCAGGGCGTTCCAGCCGAGGACCCAGGCGCCTGCGACGAGCAGGACGACGACGCAGCGCGAGGCGAAGACGCTCGCGCCGCCCGACGCGACAGCGTACAGCAGCACGGCCTCGGCGACGGCCAGCGGCCAGTAGTAGGACGGCTGCCACAGGCCCAGGACGAGGGTGTTGTTGGCGTTCGCTGCTGCTGCCCCGCCGCGGGCGCGCGCGATGTCCTGGCCGGGGCTGGGGATGGTGATGGTCAGCGGCAGGGCGGTGCGCTGCGAGGCGATGTACCAGTGCAGGATGGCGGCGCCGCCGAGCAGCACGGGCGAGAGGACGCGGTCGGCTAGGCACGGCCCGTCCAGGTAGGTGACCCAGTCGGGCTGGGTGAGCCAGGACACTGGGGTTAGGTTTCCTGAGGCGGCGGAGAAGAAGAAGATGGCTAGGGCGACTGAGGTGATGCGGCGGAGGAGGAGGTCTGTTGACCCGTTCATGTTGGTCTGATGGCTGGGTGTGATGATTTCTGAGTGTCGGTGCGATGGCGACTACAGTATGAGTGGTGGAGTTATGAGCCCTGTTTTTTGAGATGATTCGGAGGGACTGGCAAAAGAGATGCAGGCTTCAAAAGACGGCCTTGATGTCGGTAGAAAGTGGTTGAGAAAGCTATTCCTTTGTCTCGGTGTCGAGGGAGAAAGTAGGTAGATGAGGTAGGCATGGGAGTTTTCAGATGCGCAAATACAGCTCCTTGCCCCACTCCTCGTGGCTGGACAGACTTGTGAGTGTGTGGCCAGGAGAGACGAGTATTGTTGACAATATTGAAATGACGGCGATCTTGCAGTAGCCCAGACGTCAGTTGACGATGTTGCCACTAGAATGCGGCCAGTACATGACAGTCAAGGCCACATCAGCGCTTTCTCCGTCCCGTGCCGTATGTACAAAACCGTCTGCCTCTGCCCGTCCCGAGAAGCTTCGAGAAGCCGCCCCCGTTTGTCATGACCCTCCGTCTCGCAGCCCAGGTTTTGGCCAGTGTGGCCACCAAAAGCCAAGCTTTTCGTTCAGTAGCCCGGCGAATGTTGCCTGGGATTTCGTCCGGCGGAACAAGCTGCCGATCGGTGTGCATTGCCGGCTGCGACGCGTTTTCGATGTGACCGTGTGCCTTGCGAGAGGGGTGTGAATGGAGTGTGACCGTCTCGTCTTGTGGTGCAGGGTTCAGCCCTCGCACAACAACATCGTACCACATTGGGCTGAGCGGCAGGTTGTATGGCAGTGAAGACAAGCTCATCAACGCAACGACCCCAGACACGAACTGAGAGCGTAAAACCTCATGAACAGAGGTATGTTTATAGCTAGAAATATAGGTGAACAACAAATGTACCTGTGCACACTAAATCGGTAATCGAAAGACGACTAGATTTGAGGTATCTTTTGATCTGTCCCTGTTCAAACCACCACAAGACAGCGATATCACCACTACTTCGACTTGGCTTTCCTCTTTAGCGCCCGCATCTCCTTCTTCATCCTCGAGTCAACCATCTTGTATCTCCCCTTAACACCCTTGGGCCTGCCCTTGCCCTTGTTCGCGCCCTTGGCGACAACCACCTTGACCGGCGGCCGGCGAACCTTCTTGTTGGCCTTGGAGATGAGCTTGGAGATGCTGTCGGCCTTCTCGCGCTCTGTCATGCCCTCAGATGCAGCCAGGACGTCGCTCTTCTTTTTCAGCTTCTCGAGTCGGTCCGCCGCCCTCAGCTTCTTGCGCGCCTTGGCCTCGCGCACCTTCTTGATCGGCCGCGCGTTGTACGCCCGCAGCTTCTCCTTGATCGCCGCAGCCGCCGCCTTGGTGATCGGCTTGTGCGGCCGGTCGTGCTTCCCTTCGTCCTCCGTGAACCAGTCCGGCAGCCCATCCCGGTCCGCCCGGAACGCGTGCTTGCTGAATGTGTCGTCCATCATGTCGTGACTCGACTTCTTGCCTGTCGCGAGCTCGTGCGCCAGTGTCATTGCTTCGGCCGTGATGATGTCGATTTCTGTAGTTTTGTCAGTCTGGGTGAATCAATTTGGACGTAGTGGTGGTGATGGGGCGCCTACCTGGCCGGCTGTCACGCTCGCGCCTCTCGCGCCTCTCCTCCTCTTCCCAGTCACTTTCGTCTTCCTCATCTTGCTCAACCTTCTTCTGTTTTGATGATGTGATCACTTCGACTTCCTCCTCATCCTCATCGTAGGCATCGACAGCTACGGGTGCTTTTTGTTTGGGTACTTTCGCAGGTGTCTCTTCATCAGAGGAGATTTCGTCGGCCACGTCCACATCCATCTCCTCCACCTCCGCATCTTTGGGCGATTCCTCCTCTTCTTCAGGCTCGTCCAATAAGCCTTCCATATCCTTGAATAAGTCCTGGTTGAAGAAGGCTCTGGCGCGTTTTGACAGCCCTGATGAGTCGCCCGTGTCCTTGTCAAGATCCGTAAGGAGCGTCTTCTTGCCATCCAGACCATCGTCCTCAGCATCCGAGTCTTCGTCGCTATCCTCATCTAGCTCGCTCTCATCGTCGCTGGCTTCCTTCTCGTCTGCAGACACACCCTCCCATTCGTCGTCATCGTGCTCCTTCTTTGACCGCTTGGCTCGGTATTTTGCGTCTGTTGCTGATTTTCGCTCCTTGTAGGCGTCGTACATACCGTCCAGCTCCCGCTCCAGCCTGTCCTCCTCCTCGTCACTGTCCTCATCCGAGTCCGCCGATGTGCCTAGACCGCTGTCTCTGTCCTTTCTGGCGTCCTGCTCGCTGAGCTTGATCATTTTGCCCTTTGTGATCCTGCCCAGGGCACCTGCCTTGTCGACAGCCTTGAGCTGGAACATGGCATCTTCACCCATCGGGCCTCGCTCTTCCAGACCAATGTCCATCGGTGCGGTCATGTTCAGCTGCATTCGGACAATGTCCTTCTGTCTCTGTTCGTTCTCCTTGCGCCTTTCCTTCTTCTTCCTGGTCCCTTCCTTGTCCTTGAGTGCCTGCAGCTCCTCTTGGATCTTCATCTCCTCGTCCATGTCTTCTACCTCGGCGGTCTCCTCGGCAAGCTCGGGCTCCTGCTTGTTCTTCTTGGTGGGGAAGCCGAACTTCTCGCGGACCTTGAGTCGCCATTTGAGCAGTAGTTTGAACTCCTTCTTGCCGAGCACCTTCAAGTCTTCGCAGCACCTTCGGATGTCGTCTGTTGTCTCGGGGAGCTTGTTCAGCGCCGCGAGGGCTACGTCTCCGTTCCTGGACTGGTCGAAATGCAGACGGTTCTTGCTTCCTAGAATGGCAATAGGATCTGTAGTTTGGATAAACTCAGACGCGGGGACCTCCTTGAATTGGGTCCAGTCACCCTCCTCGTAGCCATCTCTCTTGCGCTTCTTGACCTCGGGGTTGTAGACCTTGGCCTCGTTGTTGGGGGTTGGTGCAGCGAGCTCCTCGAAGACGGCACGGGGGTCGAGGAACTTGGGATCGATGTGCTTGGGGGCCTTGAAGCCTCGGCAGACGACGAAGATTTCGGCGGAGACGTTTCGGGAAGAGGGTGGCTTGGTGGCCTCGACCTTGGTGAAGAGCTGGTTGAAAACCCACAGCAGGGAGTTGTAGTCCTTTGAGCGGAAGACCTTTGTGACAAATGTACCACCCTCGACGAGGAAGTCGGTGGCCAGCTTCATGGATTGCAGCACGAGCTCGGCCTGGTTGAAGGAGTCCTGGACCCAGGCAGTACCGACGTTGGGGGCACCGTCGTGGAGGACGGTGTCGGCCTTCCATGTCTTGAGATGTTTCCTGATGGTGGCGCGGCACTGCTCGGTGGTGATGTCGCTCTGAAAGGTGATGACCTTGGGGATAGGCTTGATGGGGGAGAGGTCAACGCCGACGATCAGGCTGTTGACGGGCATGACTTCTGCGGCGACTTGACACCATGACTGCAAAGGTTGGCCTGTGTTAGTGAATTGGTCGTGAGGGTTGCATTGCTCTGGGACATATTGTAGAATTATGAATAATAACAAGGCACAAACGTACACCTGGCGCAGCGCAGAGATCCAGCAGGACCTTGCTCTTCTCGAGGAAGCCATATTTCTTGTTGAGCTGGATCAGCTTGAAGGCGGCACGGGCTCGGTATCCCTTCTCCTTGGCGAGCTTGTACCACTTGTCAAGACGGCCCTTTCCGTGCTTCTTCTGGATCGCCATGGCGGGCAGTGCAGTCGGTGGTGCGGCTGCGCTGGTTGTTCTCGTTGTCAGGCGACGGTGGTGTTGAGGTGCTGAGGTGCACACACAGAATTGGGAGCGACCGAGTCGAGGTGCGCACCAGTAGTAGTCTCGATGCAGATTGCAGGAAATCGAGAACTTTTTTTCCGACCAAAGTGCTTATCTCTTATCGTGGTGGGGAGGAAGCATGGGGGAGGGTGAGACTGAGCATAATGAGGGTTGGGGTCGACCCGCCCTGCAGAAAAGATGAACAGGGGCATGGCCAGGCACAGCTGGGCACGCCATGGGCATGGGCCTGGACCTAGCTCGTTTCTGGCGGCGGATGCTACCGAAATGGGCGTGCCAGGCGGTGGCTGATTGGCCTGACGGGCTAAAGTGCTACGCGATGCAAACGCGTGCAAAGAGCTTCAGACGCACAGCTCCATGGCCTGTGTGGCGTTTTGCGCGTTGGTCGAATCGAATTGGGTGCGGTGATTGATGACATCGCCCTCGTGGTCCACACTGCACTTCTGCACTGCAGCTCTCTCCAGCTCTCTCTTCAACTTCATTCAGTCCCCAGCGAAGCCTGGTTTCCTCTGATCACAGTTCTGCTGACCACACCAGACGAGACCTTATTAGACCTTTTCGACTTCCCTTCTACGCACTCCAATCCGCCTTGAATCCTCTCATCTAGTCAACTTCACCACCACCAACCATTACCTTTGCCAATAACCGCCTCTACTCCTAACCTCAGTCTTCATCTACAACCTCGAACTCTGAATCCTCACTCTGTACGATAGCTAACTCCCCAATTGACGCCTACGACTCCTTGAGAGGCCATCCGAGGACTGGCCCAGCTACGAAGGCCATGGACATGAACGATGGCCGTCTCCAGTCCAGCCCCAGCACCAGAGCCTTCTCTCCTCCACCACCAGCACGCCACATCAAGCAGAAGCGTGCCCCTTCAATAACCCCAAGGAAGTTCAATGCCTTCTTTGCCCGCCGTTCGACGCGTCTGGCACCCAATGGGGCCTCGGTTGACCAGAGCTCACGTGCCTTGGGTGCCATCACTGGCTCGGCCATTAATAGACGCCAACGCCATATCAGAGACGCACCCATTCCACTCAAACCTCTAGGGATCCGTAGCATCGGCACTGTCCAGGATGAGAACGATGACGACGAAACCGAGGACGAGACCCCCAGACAGGCCAAGAGACGGAAGACGGGCCACCACACTCCTCCCGACTCATCACCCATCAAGCCTCCACCACTCTTTCCGTCCTCGCCATGTACGCGGGATGCCGACCCTGCTGCCGTCAAATCAGCATTACTCCTAAGCCCCCTGCAGTCTCTTGCGGCTAGTAGCCAGATAACAGAGGAGGACATATCGGATTTCGAATGCGACCACGATGACTTTGACGATGACCCTGAGCCACCGAAGCGCCTCAAACAACTCACCCACAGGGGAATCGGAGCCCAGCTCTTCCAGCGCCAATTGGGAGGAATGCCTCAAGCAGGCCGCTCTTACCTGTCGACACCAACATCAGACTGGCGCTCAGAGACGGCAAACTTCAGCTCAGGCCCAACTGACGCCCACTTCTGTTCTAGCCACGAGGGTCTGGCAAGATGTATTCCGTTTTGCACAGCCTCGTGCAACACCAACAGTCTGGTTGCCGTCGGCGATGAGGAAGGCCGTGTACGCTTGCTGGATTCGTCTTCCAGCGCACGTTTCGATAAGATCCACCTGTGCTTCCAGACCCATGGCAATGCCATCATCGACATGGCCTTCTCTGAAGACGACCAGCGGCTGGCCACAGCCTCGGGGGACCAGAGCGGCAAGGTGATCGATATGATGACCCAGACGCCCATATCCATACTTGGTCAACACACTGCCTCACTAAAGCAGGTCCGCTTCCAGCCCGGCCAGTCACAGGGAAATGTATTAGCGACGTCGGGTCGTGACGGGAGCATTCAGATCTGGGACCTCCGATGCAATGGCGGAACAGCCGTCATGGATAACATCACCCTGGAGCGAGAAGCAGGACTCCAGTTCACAACCATGCGGAAGATCAGCACCGGCTGCGTCGTCAATTCCTTCTTCGGCGCCCACGAGGCCATGCCACGACACCAGACCCGCTCCGTGGGCCTGCTCACCACGACCACATCAACCGACCACCACCCAGACATAGCCTCGCGAGGTGAGGTCCCCGGCCGCATCGGCGAAGTGTCGGTGACGGCCCTGCAGTGGCTTCCCTCGGGCCGCGAGCACCTCCTCCTGTCGGCATGCGAGGCCGACGCGTCCATCAAGCTGTGGGACATCCGCTCCATCCACACGAGCCGCCATCACCGCGCACCCACGCCCCTCAGCTACACGGCCACGCCGGCCTCACACACGAGCTGGCGCCACTTTGGCATCTCGTCGCTGTCGCTGTCAACCAACGGCTCCAGGCTGTACGCGTTGTGCAAGGACAACACCGTCTACGCCTACAGCACGTCGCACATGGTGCTTGGCCCGCCGCCGGGCACCGCCCCCGCCAAGCGGCCCAAGCACGCCCCCGCCAAGCGGCCCAAGCACGCCCCCGCCGACGAGCTACCCGGCCCGCTGTACGGCTTCCGCCACCCTTCCTTCCACGCCACCTCATTCTACGTCAAGTCGGCCCTTCGCCCGATGCGCGACGGCCGCAGCGAGCTCCTCGCCGTCGGCAGCGCGGACAACTGCCCCATCCTGTTCCCCACCGACGAGCGCTACTTCAGGCACGAGCTCGAGGCCGCCGCGCTGAACGGCGCCGACAACAACCCCGACGCGACGATGATGACGTCGTCCTTCTCCCGCCCGGGAACGGCCAGCAGACCGGCACTGTCCCGCACGAACTCCTTCGTAGCCCGCCCCGGCGCTACCGGCGGAGGCGGCATCGGCAGCAACAAGGACGGCTTCCCCATCATCCGCGCGGTCGGCGGCCGGCGGCTCGGCACGCCGCTGGTGCGCGGCCACGAGCGCGAGGTCGGGTCGCTGTCGTGGACGGCCGAGGGCAAGCTGGTGACGGTCGGGGACGACTTCATGGTGCGGTGCTGGTCCGATGGCGACGTCAACGCGGGTGAAGACGAGGAGGGAGCAGGCGAGGCGGGAGGCAGGCCCAGTGCCCGCGAACTGAGGACCAAAGGCGAGGGCGAGGGCCGCAGGTGGGGATGTGGCTGGGCTGATGTGGGGGGTGACTGGGACGCTGACGAGGAGGATGATGATGAGTGGTGAGCGAGTGACAGAGTGAGTAAGAGACGAGCATGGGCAGGCGGCGGGTTGTCCGTCGGCACACGAGTTGATGATGCACGCGTGTGTGCGTGAGACCCCTCGGGACAGACGAGAAGGGCTGGCACGAGCAGACGACTCCCCACGACATTGAAGGCCGCACTCATTTGGGCCATTTGGATGTTATTGTCACAATACAGGTTGGAACAGGCGAGGCATTTCTTAGAGCATTGTAGCATTTCTGGATTTGGGAAGGCGTCAAACATTGGCATAGGCACAGGCACAGGCGCGGTGTGATACGGCCTTCTTGCTTCTTCCGTGGGAAGAGGGCGCATTCCATAGGTGTTGATGGTGTGGTGGCGGCATCTGTAGATGGACAAGATAAAATAACCCATAAGCCATGAAGCCAAACACATATTTCACCATGCAAAAAGTGCTTCTCTTGGGGATCATCTGAAAACTTTTGGTCGTCACTAGGCTATTCTCAGCTGCTTGCTAATAGGTCTCTATCTCATCCATAGGCTACCAGCGTCTCTACAGCAGGCTCTATGGGAGGCTTTCTCTATACCACAACATCTATCTTAGGTTGTGGGGGTATCGGGTATCACTCGTGATGTGGTGTTTGTCCTATATGTCCTGTGTGTCCTGTATCCTGACGTTCGATCTCCACTCGCTCGCCGGTCTCAAGGCTTTATCAAACGCCATAGCGCATATAATTTATGCGGTGAATGCTCAAATGCAGAACCAAACCCTCAGTGCAAATCTAGAATGCTCGCTCATGCTTCCCATGGTAAAAGAATAATCATCAGTCCTTCCCCACGAAGCCAGTTGTCGTGCCACCATCGCGCCGCCGCACGTACAGATATGCCGCGAAAGCAATTGCGATGCCGAGTAACACAGTGACATTTGAGACAACGGTGGACAGGGCATAGTCGGGCTTTCGCCTTGCTCTCTCGGTCGTTGCCGCGGATGTTCCAGCGCTCTTCTCAGTTGGCACAGCAGGGGTCCGAAATACTGGACAAACCTGAGACCTCAAACCCACACTGTTTCCGTCATCATCGACAGTACCGTCATATGCTTCTGTGCCGGGTCTTGGCACATTGCCATCGGCGTCCAGCTTGCTATCATCGTCGACATCGTCGTACCGGATCGTCCGGAAGCCATCTCCCGGCACGACCGCGTCGTGAGCTAGACGTGAGCTGGGATCATCTTCCTGGATACTCTCACTCACCCAACTTGACGATACGGATGACATCTTAGAGCTACCGGATAGTCCAGGTGAGTAGGCGTCAGTGAAGGTCCTGGTAGTAGTCGGTTGCCCTCTGGCCGGTGCCGACAGCGCCGTGGCGGTAACAGAGCCATCCGCACGGCCCGACTTCCTCATCGTCCTCAAGAGCCTGGCCTTGGCGATATCAATGCTATCCCTTAACCGGGACCCGATCCCTACCGGTTGCGGTTGCTGTTGCGACGAAGGGCTGACGGCTTTCGCAGCCTGGCGCCGTGATTGTCCCTGCTGCGCGATGCCGGCCCCGCCACCGCAAATCTCGTCCAGCTGCCCCACCACCGCCTCTAGGTGCTGAAAGACGACCACCGACTCAGCGATGACATCGCGCCTCTCAGGCTCGGTGAGCGCCTGCTCTGCATCAGCGAAGCGCCGCTTGAACTCGGCCTTGAGGTCCTTGGCCTTCTGCCGGGGGTTCTCGTGGCCGAGCGGGGTGTCGAAGTCGAAGAATGAGAGTGGCAAGGTGACTGATGGGTCTTCCATGGCGAGCCCATGTTGTCCTGAATCATATTCAGAGGACGAGTGCCGCATTGATCCTCCAGACCCCTCAAGCTCCCTTGTGCAGGGCACCATGCCAGGCCTGATAGGCTCTGGCACGGTCAGCCAGAACTCGGCCCGTAGGTACATCAGCTCCATGCGGATATACGATCCGCCAGACAGCAGGGCGAGGTACAGGCTGTAGGCATACGCGAGCAGCAGATGCGGCCTTGCGTCGACGACCTCCTTGATGTGTACAAGGAATGTGCCAAGCGCGCCAGTAGTCCCTGCTGACCGTAGCTGGTCGTCTACCACGTGCGCTGGCCAACCTGTCATGGCAGCGATGTCGGCCTTCACACGGGCGGTGCGCAGCATGTTCGGCCAATATGCCGTCTCGAGTACTTGCCGGAGGCGCTCTGTGACCTCGGTCGGTGTTGCCTCATGGCTGAGATTTGGACTGCTCGTGCTGATGTTATTGTGGAAGGGATATGTGTATGGGATGGGGGCGATCTCTGTGTGGATGCCCAGGATGTTTTGCCAGAGGGACTCGAAGGCGATGTAGACGGCGCCGATGTGCAACAGACCGCTGACGTAGGTGGAGGGGTTGTCGGCCTGGGGAGGTACGGCGTGCGGCATTCGATCGAGGATCAGCCTGTTGATCTTGGTGTGGCTCGACAAGATCGCAGTGTTAATGGAATTTGCCAGAGACCGCGACTCCCCGTCTGGGGATATATTTGCGTTGTCTGCCATGAGGGAGGTAGGTATGCTTGTACTCGGAATTTGGGATGTTGTCGCGATTCAAGGTTCAAGACATGGCAGGAACAATGTCTGGCAAGCCGTACGAGCTCGATAGATATGGTAAGACGGAGGATGACAAGCTCGAAGTGATGGCATTCGGTCAATATGGACTTGTGGGACCTGGGTGGGAAGCTGCAGGTGAGTCGGACGCGTGACTGGCGATCTCGGTGTGTTTCGCCTTCGGTCGTGGACTCGAGGGTTGTGGGACGGCACCCACGTCACACGTCCTGGATAGGGCTGGGTTCACAGACGGCAGCTGGACCTGAGGAGAGAGGCTGGGTCGTGGTGGGTATCACATGAGCTTAGGCACGCATGGGAATGAAAATGTTGTGCTATGGAAACGCAAACCCGAGGGTGTTGTAGGAGAAGGAGGAAGAGGTGGTGGTGTTGAGGTACTCAAGGTTGAGCACAGAAGATGTTTTGCCCAATGGAAGGAAAGGATGACGATACTTGAGAAACGCCAGGTTATGCAGTACTGATACAGAAACAAAAGATGAGACTGAGACAAATCAGGCTGGTTGTGGAATGGAAGGAAAAAGAAGGCAAAGAAAGAAGTCGTTGGCTTCATTGCCATGTGAAGAACAGAGACACGAGATCAGAGATCATCCCTCCCCCCACACACCAAACAAACGCCAGGCACTTGCTCTGGCGGCTGGAACGGTCAGCTGCGATTGGATCAAGCCAGGCCAGGACAAGGACAAGGACAAGGTGAAGGAAAGAAGGAGAGAGCCATGACGAGGAAACCGGTAGTCTGGTGCGGTAGTGGCTCTCAACGGTCCAGACCGTCACGACCGTCACACGGGCACGAGGGTCAGTCATGCAGCCAAATGCAGTCACGGAGGAAAACGAGACGGCGCGATGGGACTAGCACCTGCACTTGCACCTGCACCAACACTAACACGTTCGACCTGCTCTCGAACAGGCCCGATTCGGCTCCGAGCTGATGAAGGGAAATGGACACTAGAAGCAGGTGCTGGAGTGATATCATTTTACGCCACAGTCGAGCATCAAAGCCACAGAAAGGTTACATGGTGAGCAAGGTAAAGGGAGGCAAACGAGAGCAGATGAGGCTGGCCGTCAGCCAGTCAAAAGACGGTGGCGATTCTAGAATCGGCAGGAATTGGAGGACCCACTTTATCTGCTTGGAAGTCAGGAACTCTGTGGAGGACAGGACCCGACAGAAAGGGAAAGGGCCTAGCCCGTCATCGCCCTTTCTGCACCAAGGGTCCCCCCGATGAAGTCATAAGGCAGCTGCCCTGGTGGGGGAGGGTGGGGCTGTCCAAGTCCAAGGGTCGTCATAACCCTGGAATGTCGCCTCAACCTTGGACATGCACAAATGCTATCGACATCAGATCATGGGCGAATCTATCCCAGAATGACCAGTCGATACAATGTGTACATGATATCTCCTACTCAGCTTTCCCTGTCTTTCCCACCTTCCTAGGTGCTATGGAAGAGATGCCATCATTCTGTCTCCACTCGTTCGCTCCGTCTCTATTTCCCAGCTGCCCTTGCAAATGTTGCTCGCCTCGGGCTTGATGGCAAGCAGACCTTCAAGTCTCCCTAGTCATGATCGACTCATACAAGTCTGATCGACTCAACATCTAGAGGCTCATCACTCCCGATCTCTCCGTCCATGACCCCGTGCACATAGCACTCGCCAATCACACTAAAGCAAGGTTGGGAACCGTCTTCATCATCCTCGTCACTTGCAGAGGCCTTGTCACGCAAACTCCAGTACTGAGGATGGGAACGGCCTTTCATCAAGATGAAGGGCAGCTCCGCGCCGCCTAGAAGAAACACGTGATTCCTCTCCCTGCCCATGTTCCCCGGTCCAATGCCCATGTACCCTTTCCTCGTCACGAAGAATGTGCGATTACTGCAGGCATGACACAAGGCTTCGTAGAAGCGACGGGCGTCTGGCGCTTCTACCTGACCGGTCTCTTCAGGGACCTCAATGGCAGGGAAGGGTGAGTCCACACAGTATTGCTTGCGAAAAGCCTCGTAATCTGCAATGTGCCGAGCGCGCTCGGCGGTCCCTACGCGTTGTCCGTGCCAGTTATTCCCTCCAGTGATCGTCCAGCAGAAAGCCTCGGGAAGACTAGTACCCCCTGGGTAGGTGCCTAGCTTCTCGATCATCTCTTCCCAGGCCTCAGATAGAGACGAAATGATGTTAGAGATGAGCTCCCTTGAGTATAAACCGGTGATTTGCTTCACCGAGTCGATATGGGTGCCGCAGACGAGCAGTGCTGACCCCTCGAAGGTCACTTCTGTATGGGGCATTTTTCTCGATGCGGAGGGTCGTTCCTGGCCGGGCCTCGTGACTGGTACCAGAGACCTTGAGGAGAACACTCCCCAGTTAGGCACCCAGGTTGGAAGTGTGTTTTGGGGGTTGTCCAAAGGTTGATGTAGCAAGTATCGGTCATACTGGACAGCACCAAGCAAGTGTAAACTGCCAGGCGTCTGGGCCAAGATCCTCTTTGCGACTTCCACGAATACTTGCGAAGTAGTTTTCGAGTAATCAGGCTCGAAGAAGCACTGACCAATATCAGGATCTGCTTCCACCGTTGGAATACCGGTCAGAGCAAACACCTTGTCTCTAGGATCCGTCGACTCGAACGGCCGCGTCAGGGACAGCAGCTCGTAGAAGGAGATGGGCTTGGCGGGGGGAGTGGCCCTGCTGGCCGACCACAGCGAGTACATCAGGCTCGCCCTGTAGACCCCGGGGTGATAAGAATATTGCTCGTGAGCATATCCCCCCCGTGACCGCTCGACTCGGCCAATCCACCTTGAAAGCACCTCGTACCCAATGTTGCACAGCCAACCAGCCGAGAACCCGACATCCTCCCACGGAGCCGTCGCCGGACCCCAGATCACCCGGGCCGACGAGGCGAGAACGACCTCCTGGAGGCACCACATGCGGCCGAACCACGCCTTGTCGAAGAGGCGGATGAGGACGCCCCATACCGGAGAGTCTGGTGGCGGCACTGTCTCAAGCTGGCCCTGATGGATAAGCCGCGCCAGCTCGAACGCGATCTGCGACACATGCGCGTCATCCTCGTCTAGGATAATCAAGACCTGGCTGGCTTGCTTGAAGATCCTGCGCATCATGCGGACCTGGCGACTTCTCTCTCGCCTGTCCTTCTGGTTGATGCAGAGCGCGTCGGCCCAGATGGAACGCGTTTGTTTTGGGTCACGAAGTCTCAGGAGGGCCCGGTACAGGCTCTGGGGCAGGCTGATAGAGCTATCTTCATGCATCAAGTCCACCATCCTCGTTCCCTATGCGTATGACAGGGCTTCATAGCTGGTTATCGGATCACCAAGGTGGACAGAACGCAGATTAAAGACCAATGGGTCTGTATCCGTTCCAGGGAGGAGGTTAAGGATACGAATCTCGTCCTCGCCAGACAGTGGTGTGTATGCGTATTCCGGAGCTGGCGCAGGCTCGGCCGCACCGTTTAGTACGGACTGAAACCACCTCCGTTCCCACTTATCCCAGACTTTCAAAGGCCGGGACCCATCCAAAAGGCGAGGAACGTAAGACCTTGAGACCAGGTCGCTGAAGTCGAGGATGGCCTTTGCCTGCACGTCCTTCCACTCCACTGGTTCCAGCGGTTGCTTTGCTGCTATCACTTCGGCCTCGGACCATGACACTGGCTTGGGGAGTCCCCGGAACATCTCCCACCTTATGACATTGTTCTCGGCTGCCGCTGATTGGAAAACATGCGATTCAACTTCGCTCGATGGTTTTAGCCATCTTGGGTGCTGGTTAAGCGGGTCCTTGGGCAGAGGGCTGTTGTTATCATTGTTCTGCATTTTGTTGATATATATGGACAAGTTGACGAGAAAGCTCAACCGCGGCTGAATTGAAGGGCTCTCTGTGCTTGTGAGTTTCGGTCCTATTAAGAGTCCTATTGGGCAATGCCCCCACTTTATCTTCTAGGTTCGATGTCTTTGCAATCCCAGTCAGCAGAGAATCAGGCTCTCACATGTTGCATAAATAGGTTTCCCGGTCGACAGCCCATACAGCAGATAATATAGTAAATCAAACGCTTCAACAGTATAAACAAACTTTATAGAATCCTGCCAAACCCATGATTTTGATGACACAGACCCATCCATCTGCGACGCATTATACCCAGCCACTGGCAGTTATCCGAACACATCTCAACCCATGTAGCAAGTGAGTTAAGCAAATGCTCACTCGTGCGCTGCATACGTATTTGATGATTCAAACCTAACACCATCTCGCTTACAGCTCAAAACATTTGAATTCATGGCCGCTGTGATGAATCTCTGTCACGTGCATGTAACACTTGAAGCAGAGATCAAAATCATCGCATTCCTCATTTATGCAATGATAGTACTTCCACCGTCTGGGCTATACAGCCGTTAGCAACTCCTTTATAATTACGAAATTCAAGTACTTTCTCCTGGGTCCATGATGACTTACCAAGAAGCATACATCACACCACCCATCATCGTGGGCTGCGGGTCCATTCGGCAATCCCTCAGCCTTGTCATCCGTGTCGGGAAGGCTCTCAAACTCCTCGCTGTTGGTTGTGCTGTGCATCACAGCAATGTGGCGGGGCGTCCAGTCATGTCCCGTCCGGGCCTTGGGATCCGCGCCGATGTCCAGCAATTTTTGGATGACCTCCTTCCGCGGCGACCGGCATGCCCAATGAAGCGGTGTCCAACCAGCTTCATCCCCCTGATGAACTAAAGCCTCAAGATCCTCCTCAACGAGGATTTTGTGGATCTCCGCTACCCTACTTTCCGAATTGGAGATAGCTGCATAGTGAAGAATGGTAAGGCCTTGGCTGTCTCGACTGGCTTTCCACAGCTCCGGGAGTTGTCGTGGATAGAAATCATTGGTATCTTTCCACACTTGCTCTACCAGGCCCCAGCTTCCGTGCTGTATGGCTAAGTGCAGCGGTAGACGCCCGGCGATG